ATCCCCTCGTATTCCTAGAAGCACTGGGTTTGGTCTTGGGTATATATTTATCGATCAAATGGGTCATTTTACTAGTTATGATATTCAGCGTAGTGTCTGCGTTCTTGTACCTTAATAAGTCAGGCCAGTTGATACCCCTCATCTCTTCCCTCATCCCATTGTAATTTCCCTTGTAATATTTGCACCTTGGCCTGGCCTTATCTTGAACTAGGTAACAGTTAAATCTGAATGACAACACTGTATGGTGACTGGTGCCAACTGGGGCAAGGTGTTCCAGTTTGGCCACCATACCCTCCTCGTTTGTTATGATGAGGTCAAGTGGCTTGGGTGTTTGTTCCCCTCTGTAATGTGTCGGGTCTCTCACATGTTGGAACAGAAAATTATCTCTCAGAGTTTCTACAAAAAGAGTAGCAGGATTATTCAAGTCATTCGGGGTTGACTCGTTTCTCCAGTCGATGTCGCCATAGTTAAAGTCCCCCATGATAAGGAGGTGGCTGGGGTTGAGCATCGCCGCATTGTTTATTAAGGTTCTTAAGTTCCTTTGATTTAGTGGGCCACAGTTCGGGGATCTGTAGATACACCCGACGATAAGTAAGTCCCCTCCCTTTAATTTAATTTTACACCACTTGGACTCTTCAAAGACATCCTCTCCCTGTACCCTCGCCTGGCTGGCTCTAAGGTCTTGCCTAGCGTAGATAACCACACCCCTCCTGCAGGATTCTTGAGTTAGGTTCGTAAATGAGTCATATCCAGCAATACTGAACTCACATTCCTCTGGGTCGATTCTCCTGTTCTTGTACAACAGTTCTACAACTCCTACAATATCTGGTTGGTGTACTCTTAGTAGTGTTTCAAACTCCTCCCTCTTATCCAGGAACGTGTCGGTATTAGTGTACATGACATTCAAGCCAGAATTTGTTCTCGGTAACGTCTCTGCTCTTAGTAATAAACCCGCTCCACCCACATTCTCAGAAGCTGCAGCATTTGCTAAGTACACTGTATTTTGCAGGGTGTGGTTAAAAATGTCATTGTTTACACGGCGCTCGTTCCCTCCTGTCCGGTAGGCTGAGCTGGTGCCGCCTCCCGGGTGGGGGGTTGAGTGGGTGGAGGGTGCACTGCTGCCCCCTGGCCCTGTGTCGGCACACTTGTTTCCACTACCCTCCCCCTGAGTATAACCCATGTGCACCTGTCCCCGTTCCTTCTCGACTCCTCCCTCCTCTGCTTCAAGTCCAGCAGGAGCTTCTTGTGCTGTTCCCTCTGCATTACCGTGCGGTCTGGGTGAATAAATACATCTCGAAATGCCTCGCTCCTTGCTAAGTTTTTTGCCTGCCGGATAACTTGCCATTTTTCCTCCTCACTCCCTAGTGTGATCCTGAGGGGGCGAGGCTTAGCCCCCTGCTTTTGTCCCAGTCTCCTCACATCCTGAGGGGTTGCTGGAATCTTCAGAACCTCTGTGCAAATATTTTGAAACAGCACCTTGTCGTGTGTTTCCTTACTCACAGTTCCCTCTGCCTGGCTCTCTGGGACTCCAAAAACTATTACATTGTTCCTGCGCTGGAGCCGTTCCTGGTGTTCCTCCTCTCCCCTAACAGTAGGTCCGTTAATTTTCATTTCTTCGACACACTTTTTCAGAGTCCCAATCTGCTGTAGAACCTGTACTGATTCTGCATTACTCTCCGCCCCCCCCACCCGTGGCCCTCCTAATACGTCCGCATAGCTCCTCTTAGCAACCACCTCCATTCTATTAGCTACTTCCTCAGTCTTAGCAAGGATCTCTTTCTCAACTTGCTCCAGTTTGTCAACCAGCAGGGCTCCTGCTTCATCTATTTTCGTCCCTAGAGAACTCGTTCCCTTATGGATTGCAATCGCTTCATTCACCTTGACTATGCAGCCAGGGCAATACCAGCAACAGCCATCAAGCTTTACGGCAGTTAGTAACTTCCTAGACGTTGCATTAGTTAGGCCTGCATCCTCCATATCCGACGTCTCCCTGCAGTAATCACATACCAAACTCATGGTTGTTGTTGTTGTGGGGGGGGGGGTGTAGACTGTGTATAGATCTACACCTATTTCAAAGAAAATAAAGAGAGAAAAAAGTACTTAGCTACTCTCTGTTGCCTATGGAGTTGTCGTCTGCGACTGCGTACCCTGTATCTCCCTGTGAATGGTGTATTGTAGGCACAGTTTCAGTCCTTGAGCAAGCACACAATCAACATAAAATAAAATTTAAAGTCTCTGTGGCACCTATGACACGACTTGGTTTCAGCTGGCACGGTGCCTTTCCAGCTTGCTTGCTAGTGAGCGCTCACTTTAAGTTATTTACAACTTCAGCGGTCACTGATGACACTATGAACTATCACTGTGTACACTGTATCTCCCTGTGAGTGGTGTATTATAAACACAGATTCAGTCCTTGAGCAAGCACACAAACAAAATAAAATTTAAAGTCTCTGTGGCACCTATGACACGAATAGGCTGGCAGTTGTCCTTACCAGCTCGATTGCCAATATGTATTCACTTTAAGTTATTATAGTCTCTTCTGCATTCACTGATGACAACTATGAACTGATTTAACTGAAGGCACAGTACTACACTCCCTGGTTGGCCTTTATCACAGCCGTGACCACAACACCCTAAAAAATAAAATAAAATAAAAGCTTTGTCATGTGGCAGTGATTGTGTGGTTATAGGCCTGTGACCCTGGCTGTACCTCCAACTCGGTGGAAATTGAGTTTTCAAAAATACAATCGTGTCTAGCATGAAAAGTCCGACATCGATTTACACTTTCACCTCACTAAGACGATCTTGACGAACTTATGTAATCACTGTCCAATTTCTGCCGCTCTACATCGAAGGCCCGGATGCCGAACACGCTTTGTTACAGAGACGCAACACGACCCGCCCGCCCTAAACAGTGCCTGGAGGTTCCTCACTTTCCTCACTGTCTTTCTCTTGTGCCCTTTTTCCTTCTTCCTCAGCTGCTTGATGATGTTTAGGGCCAACTCCCTCTCACTCTTGTCCATGGAGGCTAGCAGTGAGAGCAACACCACCTCGTGCTGGCCGAAGTAGCCGTTGAACTGGAGGTATGGAGTAAGCAGCTCCACTTCCTCCAGGGTGCAGTACGTCCTCAGCCCTTTTCTTTTCCCTCTTCGCTTCCTTCTCCCTCTCTTCTTTCAGCTTGGCAGTCACAATTTTGTCAACGCCATCAATGCAGCCCTCCCTTCCCGGTTTCCTCTGGGCTGCCAGGAAGCTTTTCTCTCGTTCGTGCACTTTGCTGTCGTCTGCCACATCAAACAACTTCTCAGCTATATCCTCGAACCTCATCTTCAGCTTCCCGTTCTTCGTTTTCTTCCTTTTCTGTTTCTGTCCATTTCCCTTCATCATCATCGTCTCCCTCCGCATCCTCCACAGGTCGTGGACTCTCATTTTCACCCTGATTTCAGAGATAGTGGGGACAGTGGCCTTCCTATACACATCCAGTACCTTCTCAGTCACCTTGTTGGTGGCATCCATATAATCAAAAGCATTTGTTCTTCTCCTTAACCTCTCGTTTTCTGCTTCATAAGCCAGGGCACTTCCAACTTCCTTGTTCAGAGGCAACTTGTTAGATGGCAGAGGCATCCGAACCCCGAACACCTTATCGTTACCCTGGCGCAGCTGAGTGTTGCTAATCTTAGGACGACCCATCTTGGTGGCGGCCCTTTGAACTAACTGCAAAACAACACAGAAAAAACAACTTTCAGCACTTCAATATCACCACCTATTGAACAATATTTTATTTAAAAGTACGGACTGAGATTTTGTCCTTAACTGTCCAAGTCAAGCTACTTGGGCTGAATTCGTTGATCAGTCCTGGGACGAATATTACCAACGGCGTGAATAGATTCCGTGGAATAAATTCAGGGCATTCCCGTCCAGGGAGCCTCAACAAACTCTGTAAATATTGCCATTGGCCTGCCATTGGCACATATACGGAGTTTGGTAATGTTCCATGAGCGGGAATGTCCTGAATTCATTCCACGGAATCTATCCACGCCGTTGGTAATATTGGGCCCTGGTTTTCGAAATATACGTATGTGGTGACTTGCAGCAAAAATATCGGCATAATTTGTAGCGCATTGAGTTGTAAAACAATAGCATATTATGAACCAGTGTACACAGTAGTCGAATAATCCAATTCAATAACTTGATTTTAACAGGTTGTGCCACATTGCCAGTCCCTTTATTATTTACAGTTTTTTCGCGTTTTTCATGCCAAACCCAAAAGTATCCACAAACCTTCTAATGCAATGATGTAAAAAACTCAAACATATTCGGAACCAGCGTGGCCGATAGACAAATAATCCAACCCAAGCCACTTGATTTTGAAAACTTTTGCAAAACTGTCACTCCCTACTGATTAGTCTTCAATTAGAATATGACTCCAATGTATGTGATCCACTGACCTATATATGCTGCTGGTGAATATGATGTATTTCCTTCTTTGTGGACGAACCTCTGTCCTGTATGGCAGTGGAAAGTGACATTACCCACATGAATCTGACCGACGTATATGTATGTATGTGTGCGTGTGTGCATGTATATGTACGTGTACATGTATATGTGTATGTATATACGTATATGTATGTATATGTGTGTGTGTGTGTTTACATATATGTATATGTACTGTCAATGAATATGATGCAACTCTTTGTGTGTGAACCTCTGTCCTGCGTGGCAGTGAGAAGTGATACCACCCTCAGTGTCAAGACCTGACTGAATTACTCGGAATAGGCAAACTGTACTCCAAGCTTTGTCAATAAATTTGTTAAACTAAAAAAAACTCCAAAACACCTCAGGTTTCCCGGTCCCTGGTTTCCTCCTGTACTAATACTGGATAAACAGCCCAGACGGCTAGCAAGCTGATAAGCGGCGAATATGATAAAAAAAATTATATATATTGCAATTCATTTTTAGCGGGCCAGAGAAAACGGAGGAGGTGTGAGCGCCATCTGTTGAGGCCTGAGACACCGTGGGCAGGACGCCGCGTGTGTTGATCTCCTGGGGTCTGTGTTTATGTATTGACACTTGTTATTAAACCTCATAATTAAACATCCATATAGGCATACAGTGCGTGATACCTTCTAGACAGAAGATATTTGTTCATTTGGTAAGTGATGGAAGAATGGCTTTCCATATTTAGTGCAAGGAGTTATTTGCTAGTGATGCAGCAGACAGGGTTATCTCGTTCCGGGTATTCAAGAAGTATTTATGTGGGAATCTGACTAACAGTTCATGTACCGGTTCAGTATATAATAATATAACATTTGAAAAAATGTCTTGTGTGAAGGTTCATGGTGTCTGGCATGGACATTATTCTGTAACCCATACCAGGAGGATCCTCTGGTAAACCTGTTATGTATTGTAAGTTCGTGTACTGTGTATTTTTTATATTTTCAGTGTGACGAAATTGTCCTTCCGAAATCAGATTACCTACTAAATGTGATGAACAGTGAAGTAGAGCCGTAAACTTAGTATTTACATGTTATTCGTGGTCATAGTATTCAAGGTTAAAATTTGTTTTAGCACATGACCTGAAATTAGGATGACTACAGTAGGTTCTAATGTAGTATTTATGGTATTATTTACTCTCAAAAGACGTTTCCAAATTATCTTATAATTAGACGTCTTATTAGAATATGATAATAGATTAGTGGTAGGAATGTGGAATGTTTAAACGCAATAATACCATTTATTTTGATGTTTATATTCTTAAATTTGTTTTTGAGGAATTACTTTTCACAGGTTAGGTTAGTTTAAGGTTAGGTTAAGTTTTAAATAAACCCTTTTTTAACACATTTGCCATAACTATGACAGTGTCAATAAAAAAACCCCAGTGAAATTGAGGCATTTTTTAAAATTCGGTCTATGAATAATTAGCTGTGGTGTGGACGTTAATAATTACCGAAAGATAGTTAACAATTGAGGTGATTTACCGTGAAAACTCTGCTGAGTCACTGTGTGTGTTTGCTTACAACCGCCCCACTCTGTCTGAGCCTTCTCTCACTTCCACAAAAAAAACGTAATTTACACCATGACACTTCAAGAAAGTTGCTCACATTGGTACTAGATAACAAAATAAGTACTTTCTGTTTAATATGGCTGGGGGGTCAGGGGAGCAGAGCCCCTTGACTAGTAAGTTAGGTAAGGTTAGGTATGTTTCTTTGGTTAGTTAGGTCAGGTTCTAATGGTTCATTATTATTCATTTGCGATGAAAGTTACTCAGAATGATGAGATATAACTTAAAATTGCTGAGAGTCCACTTGTAAGTATTTACCGAATACAGTGGTCCCTCCATTAACGAGCACAATTGGTTCCACAGAGTCACTTGTTAACTGAATCTATTATTTTAATGGGATATTGGGTAATTGGTTCCAACTCACAGAATTCTCTTAAAATGAATTAAGAAGTAAGTACAAAGTACTGTATACCGGTAATAGAATTAACAAAACATAAAATATACAAAAATACAGTACTGTACATGTACTGTATACTCTACAATAATAAATAAAAACAAAATATTTTAACACTTAATTTGAGGTGTGCATGTAGAATTCCCTGCGGCTCTGTTTACATAGCGGCAGCACAAACAGCTGATTGTAGACAGAGTCGATGACAACATGCCATATTCTTTACAGAGTGCATTGGTTCTAATGCCTTCTTCATGTTTCTTAATAATTTTTTGTTTCACTTGAATTGAAATCACCTTCCTCGATTTCTTCGCATCCCATGCTTGATAATTTCACCAATAAAATTTTAAATTTACAACAGTTTATTTAACTAATTCCAGATTTTTTTATTTAAACCAACACTGCTCTGTATATTATCAATATGTTAACTAAATTTCAAAATAACCAATAATTTAAATGTAAAAATGCAAAAATATTCAAGAGCACAACTTTCTAGATGTTTACTCCACTGGAAACAAAGGTAAATATAGAACCAATTATTGGCTGACGAGTCGATTAGCTGATGCGCACACCAAAACGTGTTTCTCGTAAGGCTGTCGTTATTAGAAATTGTACTGTATACATGTATTAATCAATTTTCTTCTATGGTACAGTATTTTGTTACAGATTTGGAAAGGTCAACAATGGCAGTCCTTTTGTAGATTGATATGAATCACGAGTAATTATTTGGACTTTGACTGTTGCTAGTTTGGCGGACGATTTTGGTCACATTTCCTCAATAGTTGTTGCTTAATGTAATGGAAAGAAAGTTTTGTGGAAACATATAAAAAAAAATTTTTTACTTCTGAGTTGAGAATCATGAAATAATAAAACACTTTATTTTATAATGTTACCACATACTAACATTTACAATTTTTTTTTTTAACATTACCAATCATAACCTAACCTAACCTTAGTTACGCAGTGAAGTCACAGAGTGGCTGGTGTGAAGAATGATCAAAGGTTCTACTACTACTACTGTACTACTTTGCTGTCACTTGGGATCGAGTACAGTATGACGATCATCCAGTTATATTAAGTGATATGAGTTATTAAGGATGTCACCTTCGTTGGTGAGTTCTGAGATGACTACAGAGGCTGATACGGGACAGGCAGAGTCGTTCACAGATGTTGCTCATGTGAAGGGCTACATTTAGTGCGGGAGGGGCGGCGGCAGCGTCTTTCCGGCGTTGATGCTTGTCTGCCTTAGTATGCAGTCGGGCTAACTCGAAAGTATTGACACCTCTTGCGGTCAATTTGGCACTTTTTCAGGTTTGTCTCGAGACTATCCTTACACGTTTTCAGTTGCCCGCCAGCATTACGTTTGCAATTTGTTAGGTGATTGTATAGTAGCTGCTTTGAAAGTACTGTCGTCCATGCTGGTAACATGGCCAGTCCAACCTAGTTGTTCATGGATAATGGTAGCCTCGATGCTCCTACAGTTGGTGTCGGCAAGATTACTGGCCTTTGTTCTTTTGTCTTCCCAGCGAACTCGGAGGATGGAACGTAGACTACGTTGGTGAAAGTTTTCAAGTTCCTTGAGGTGCCTCCTGTATATGACCCATGTCTCGCTGCCATATAGCAGGGTGGAGATGACCACTGCTCGATATACATGTAACTTTGTAGATAATTTCAGTTCCCTACCGCTGAAGACACGGGTACAGAGTCTGCCAAAGGCTCGAGATGCACATCTTATCCGATATTGAATCTCTTCATTGATGTCCGTGGTGGTGGACAGGTGGGAGCCGTGATACTGAAAGTGGGTAACATTAGAGATGGTAGTAACTATAAGGTGGATGGATGGTGGAGGTGTGGTTGAACCAGGGGCAGGCTGAAAGAAAATCTGAGTCTCAGGTGCATTCACCTAAAGGCTGAAGTGTGCATAAGCATCTGCATTGGTGTTCAGAATTTCCTGTGGGTCACATTGAATGTGAGCAACAAGAGTGAGGTCTGCATACTGAAGTTCAGTAATGGAAGCTGCGGACACCTTTGTTCCTGCCTGGAGTTGTTTTATGTTGAAAAGACCCTTCATCCAGTACAGGATGTCCACCCCGCTGGCTAAATTGGCACTGGCACAAGTAAGGAAGGCAGCCAAGAAAATGGAAGAGACGGTTGGTGCCAGTACACTTCCTTATTTAACCCTGTTTGAACGGGGGAAGAACTCAGACTGGGTGCCATTGTGTAGGACACTGCCGTGCATGCCATCATGGAGTTGCCTCACAATGGCAATGAATTTTGGTGGGCAGACAAAACGGCTGAGGGTCCACCAGAGGGCTTCCCTGTTGACTGAGTCGAAGGCCTTGGTCAGGTCAATGAAGGCCATGTACAGGTCACGACGCTATTCTCTGCACATTTCTTGTATCTGGCGGGCAGCAAAGATCATGTCAGTTGTGCCACATGATGGTCTAAATCCACATTGAGATTCTGGGAGAAAGTTTTCCACCTCAGGAAGGAGTCTGTTTAGGAAGATTCGGGCAATAATCTTGCCAGCTACGGACAGCAGCGAGATCCCATGGTAGTTGCTACAGTCTGACCGGTCTCCCTTGTTCTTATAAATATTGACAATGGAAGCGTCTTTAAGAGCTTGGGGTTTTCTTCCTTTTCCCATATATTCTCTAGGAGAGAGTGGAGATGGCTAGTAAGCAGAGGTCCTGCTTTATACACCTCGGCTGGGATTCCATCAGGCCCTGAGGCTTTGTTATTTTTCATCTGAATGATGGCAGTAGCTACTTCATCCAGGGATGGAGGATAACTGAGGTGGGTCAGCCCTGGATGCTGAGGGACCTGCTGGGTAGTCTGGACATCCACATTGGTGTTTCGGTAGGGCTCTTTCCAGTGCTGAAGAATGCCTTCATCATCTTAAATTGGGGAGTTACCATCGCATGAGCAGAGGGGGCTGCACCATGAGTGATTGGCCCATAAAATGTTTTAGTGGAATTGAAAAATTTGCTCATCTTGTGTTGATCTGCAAGTTTTTGCATTTCACATGCTTTATTTTTAAACCAGTATTTCTTTAGTTTGCGAAGTTCGCGCTGGGCCGCCGCTTTCTTCTTGCGGAAGGTATCAGCTTTGGTTCGAGACAGAGGGTTGTTCTGCCATTCAGTTAAAGCAGCACGTTTATCATTGACGAATACATTGATTTCTGGGTCATTTTCATCTAACTGGCCTTGGTGTATTCTTTCGATCTGGCCGAGGGTTTCTCTGCAGGATTTTTTCATGACTGTGTCGAGAATACCCCATTCGGCACTGGGATTTGGGTTGTTTGTTAGCCCGTTCGAGCTGCTCTCTGATGGCATGTGCTACCGCTGTATCCTCCAGACACTTAGTGTTAAAACCCCTTCTGGAGGCTTATTGCCTTTGCCGTTTTGGGGCGATGTGAAGTGAACGCTTAGCTCTGACGAGCTGATGATCAGTGTTGCAGTGGTCGAGCCACGCATTGTTTGGGTGATGCGGACATCTCGGCGATCTCTTTCTCTGACACTGATGTAGTCAATGAGATGCCAGTGTTTGGATCGTGGGTGTTGCCAGTAATCTTTAAACATAATGCAGCAGCAGCCATACACATCTCTGAGTCAGCTGGGTGACTGCCTGGCTGAACTGTGTTAAAATGCCCAGAGGATCGTTTGAGTGCGGAAGGAACGTTTATTTTTTTATCTTTTTTTACATAAAATATGTGCTATTGCATTTTATGATATGCTATGTATCAGTTTTATTGTTCATCATAGCTTTTTTTTATGCTGTACAGTACAGTATACAAATCAAAATTTGTTCAAATTAAGCACATCTTTTGCTCTTTGAACTTGTTGTTTGCCCTCCGTGCTTTGCTGTTATCCTTCATTTAGTGATAATTTTGCTTTTCATTAGGTTTTTCAAGAAAGGAACCCCTTCATTAAATGAGGACTACCTAAATCAATACTCAGTTCTGTTGCCAGTATATTACAGGTACAGTACATGTACAGGACAGTGCTACTTGGAATATCTTTTATGTAAAAGTATACTAACTGTAAGTTTAAATGTACATACTGTATTGAACCTGTACTGTATACTGTGCAGTACGGTATATAATATTTTTTTGTATCATCAGGCTATATGATAATTTTTATTTTATCGCATGAATTTTATCTTGATTTTATTGTTTAAATATATAGTATCTTAAATATATAGTATTTTGAATTTCTTTTCAGTGATTATTTACTGAACAATGGAGGAAGCTATGGAAGGTATGTTTTTCTGTTTTTCTTATTTTCTTGCTTCATTAATGCTTAAATACCTGTACTTTAAAATAGTACATGTACACTGTGAATTAAAAGGGAACTGTTGTCAGTGATTGCTCTTTGTACAGTTCAGTACTGTATAAGGAAAGATTAATTTAGTTATTGAATAGGCTGTATGGCATAAATGAAATAAAAACATATTACTGTACTGTACGTAGTTGAATTTTGTATGGGAAATTGGGGAACAATTTTAAACAAATCATTGAAATACATATCTAAATTGACACTTCACAGTATACCAGGTTTTAAACCCATTCAGTGCTGCTAGTCTCAATTTCAATTGTACTGTCAGTTTATTATATTTGACACAACACATTTCCAGTCTACTTATGGCACATCTGCAGTCAGCTGCCAGATGTCAGCATTGAATGGGATAAATGCTTTTTAGTAGACTTCCCATATCTTAAGGGATTAATCAGGGGCTCAAAGTTGGTATGATGCTGTTTTGAAACCTGTCTTGTATACAGTGGTGGATTACCCTTTGGGCAGAGGAGGTATGTCCTCAAGTCCGCCCGAGGTTAAGAAGGCTCCAAGGGGGTTGTTTTTAGTTTTTTTTTTTTTTTGTGGTGTAAATAGCAAAACTACAGACAGGTTTCGTCATAATATTTGTATACTGTGTACTGGGTATTACTTTAAAACTAAGAAGTGGGGCCCACATAGTTTTAATCTGCCTCCCTGTGTGTACTATACAGTGACCCCTCGTTTAACGAACTCAATCCGTTCCAGAAGGTCGTTCGTTAACCGAAACCATTGTTTCAATGGGTTTTTGGGTAATTGGTTCCAGCTCACCGAAAATTTCCTAAATTCAACAAAAATGGTAGAAAAGTTCACTTACTTTGAGGTGTGTATGTAGAAGGCTCCTGGGTGATGATGATGATGATGGGAATTAGAATGGGGGTGGAGGAGAAGGAAGAAGAAAAGGCATTGGGGTGGAAGAGAAGTCACCCCATGGCACCATTTCATCCATAAAATTTTAGTTCTCTTGGTGTATTTCAAGATTATTTTCTTTAAATCAACACTACACTGCATTATATATTGTCAATATGTAAAATATATTTCAAAATGACCAATAATTTGCTTGGAAACACAGAAAAAAGCATTTAGTTGAAGAGAGTCTCAAGCAAGATGTTACCTCCACTGAAAACAGAGAGAGACTAACGCCTGTCTGGTGTGTTAACAGGCTGGATGGCACGCCAGAAACTAGTTTCTTTACCTTCAATTATGTTCAATAATTGTTAAAATGACTAAAAAAAGTTAATATTAAACTTTTAAAATTATTGAATAGTATAAACTTAGTGATATTTACTAAAATAGTAAGGAATTTAAGCCCTAGAACCGATTAATGTATTGGCGGACTGATACTAAAGCTGGTTGCCCGGTCAGTGCAAGCGAAAACATGTTGAGGTCGGTTCGTAAGAAATTCGTTAACCGAATTTTTGTTCGTTAACCGAATTGAAGATCCTTATGGAAGGCAGTTCGTTAACCGAGGCGTTCGTTAAACGAGGGGTCACTGTATGTGTGTGCAGAACTCTTATATCACACTGATTTTGGGCCTAAATTTGTAAGAATGAAATCAGATGTGTTGTACAGATTTGGATTTGCCAGCATGCTACAAATTTTTTACTGTATGTGTGTAAGGTTAGGGATCAGAGTTAGATTAACTGATTTTTAGGCACAATGTAAATGTCTTATTTACACATATGCACAAAAAGGTATGAGAAAAAATATCATGCCAACATTGACTCCTTGATAACCTCTTTAAGCCAGTTTGTCTTTGTGTATATACTGTACAGTGTATTTGTAGAGAGGTACTGTGTGAAGTTTTGTGCAGGCAATTTTTCTTGAATAGCATTCTGTACTGTATATACAGTACTGTACTTGGAAGACCAGTTTATAATATGTCAGTTTGCCTCCTCGTAAGATGAAAGTTTTATCTGAAGATATTTAAAGACATACATGATTTGAGCTCAGGAATCCATACTATGCTTGAAACCAGGCCTAATATTTTTTATGTAAATGAAACTATTTTGAAGCAAAAAAATAAATAAAAATTCTTTTCGTGCATGTAAGAAGAATGATTTACCTTATCATTCATCATGTCTAATTAATGAGGTTAATGGCTTTAGAGGTATTATTATTTAACAAAGCAGTTTAATAAACAGGCAATTCTTCTAAGTTATATAGTTGAGTGGGCAGCATCCAAAGTTTAAATTCCCAAGAATAAGATTTAAGGTAGTTAGACTCAGAACTGGGCTGCACACTGGGAGCACATAATCATGAGGATTTCACAGATATTGTTAGCATTTGTAAGTTCTTATGGTCTAGTTATATTATATTATTGGAGTGCAGTTATACTAACTCATTATTGAATTTAGTTTCATTATATCTTGTTGTTTTCAACAGAAAATGATGTGCAGGAAATGCAAGGAGAGCCAGTGGATGTTGCAATTGAGAAGGAAGTAATAATTGTAGAAGATGAACTAAGTATGGAACATGATGGGGAGGAAGGAGATGACCTCACACAGCAATCTAAAGATGATGCAAATGGAAAGGAAGGAGATGCCATCACACAGCATTCTGAAGATGATACAAATGGAAAGGAAGGAGATGCCATCACACAGCAATCTGATGATGATACAAATGGAAAGGAAGGAGATGCCATCACACAGCAATCTGAAGATGATACAAATGGAAAGGAAGGAGATGCCATCACACAGCATTCTGAAGATGATACAAATGGAAAGGAAGGAGATGCCATCACACAGCAATCTGATGATGATACAAATGGGGAGGACAAAAGTGAAGAGAGTGTGACTGAGAATCAAAAAGAAGAAAGTTCGAAAGATGCGAGTGACCCTTATGCTTACACCAAAAGAGATGAATTCACTTCAGAGAATTTTAAGATAGAACTTAAAGGATTACCTCGTTATTATTCTGTGGGTGTAAGTGAAAATTTTTGAGTTACTACAAGTTTTCAGTTTTTCCCTATTAAAATTTAAGAATTTCATCTAGAAAAGATACACTATATTGTTGAAAATCTAACCCATCCAATGGTGATTGGAGGTTGGCAATTGAGTTGAGTTAAGCTTCAGTGTCTACATCATCAAAGAAAAAATCCAAATAATAATTTCATATAATTCTTTATACTGTAATTTGTTAACCTTAAAATGCCTTAGTAACTTTAGTCACTTGGTAGAGCTGATTTGGGGAAATTATAGTGTTGGAGTCCCTGGGTTATGAATGCAGTCCGTTCCTGAGGACGTTCTTAAGTCGGAACACATGCTATGTGCATACCATACTTACAGAACAATGTTTAAAATCCCACTATATCGTAGCCCAAGTCCTTATATACATATACAATTAATTAATTTAAGAGAAAAGAAGAATTATATTGACAGTACAGTAAATGAAAGTAAAAATAAGTCCTCAGGTAATCAAAATACTGTAAATTTCAAGTTTAACCCTGTTCGTATCGGCAGGTGTTCGTAAGTCAGGGACCCTCTGTATTACAATTCTGGTTTCAAATTGGAAAAGTTGGCATCACTGCGCCAACTCATGCAAGTTTGTTTCGTATATGGGGAGTGACTGGCCTGATTTCAACCAGCACATCATGCTCTATTAATCCCAAAATTTCTGTTGACTGTGACTATTTGAGGGTTACATATAATTATTACTTCATGGCTACAGGTTAGATTATAGATACCTGTCATAATAATTTTTACTTGTTTCTTTTCTTGCAATATTAACTTCGTTATTGAAATATTTATATGACGTTCAGCTGGCGAGTGTCGGACATATATATATATATATATATATATATATATATATATATATATATATATATATATATATATATATATATATATATATATATATATATATATATATATATATATATATATATATATATATATATATATATATATATATATATATATATATATATATATATATATATATATATATATATATATATATATATATATATATATTAGAACTATTAAAGTCCTATTTTTTCTTTGCTGGTGGCTTCAGGGGAATTGTTTATAGTCAATCTAATTACTGTATTAGCATTATGGTTACGTTGGGATGCTCTGATAGAACATTTTTAATGTCGTAACAAGGTGATGGGATTCAGTTTAAATTTATCAACATAAAGGATAATCAGACTACACCTGCAACAGCTAAGTTTCTTTTCTGTGCATCATTATACTAGTATTGTAGAGTATAGACTCCTAGCATAACATGAATAGGAAATAATTTTTTGTCACCTAAAATTCTTGTGTTACAAGTGGTGCTTTATGTAGGTGAGTGTAGGAGTTAACCTTTAACACTCTTGGGATTTTCATAGGCATGATTTTCATATGTATGATTTAAATTATCGCTTTAGGGTTTTCATTCACAAATTTGTGTATGAAGTCAAAAATTAAAATTAAATAATTTGATGTTTGTGTATGAGCGCTAGACCAGCGAGACACACATTTAGCAACATCAGCACAAACTGGCACCTATGTAGACTGCAGTCACAAGGTCGCCACACCCGTCTCCCTTTTATGTTTAAAGGACCGGGATATAATGTTGACACATTTTCTTGTGACTTGTGTTGATTCTCATGCATCACAGTGATTTCATGTATTCATAACAGTGTTGTGAAAGTTTTGAACCATGCCTCATGTTGCTGGTGAGGGTGGAGGGGTGGGAAAATGTAAAGATAACAAGGAGATTGCACCACTTGATGATAGTGTGTTGCCTCCTGATGCCTCTCCCAGTGTCCTTGCTTCTAGCATGATAGTTTGTCTGGCCATTCAATAAGCATTTTTAGTGCTATGACTCAAAACATTATGTACAATTATCTTTTGCTCCCGGAGGGGAAAAGAATAACAATCTGTACTGGGCCTGTGTACTGGGCCTGGGCGCACTCATCAGAATACAAAATTTACACCACTTTTACCTAGTGAAATTTTAATTTGTTCTCAACTTCTCTTCTACTATAACTATTTTTCCTGAACATGTATGCTTTATAATGGAATAAGATTCATATTGCAATCTCATGAAATAATGAAGGCAGAAAGTGATGTACAGGGGGCCCCCCAAATTCGCGGGGGTTAGGTTCTCAAAATGGCTGCAAATCCGGTAATAACATTTGCGGACTGGGGGGGGGGGGTGTTACATTTTTACTTGTTTACTAAGAAATGTACTTGAGGGTAGACTCACATTTTTAATAAATTTGTTTCTGATTATTTCAGAGTATTTTCCCATTATTATTTATTTGTATGTGTTTTGTGTGTGTGTCTACACAACCACACATTTACAATACAGTACAGGTAAAGGGAATTACTGTCTCTAGAACAAATGGCTCCCTGTTCCAGCTGCGAAAATGCTGGCAACTTTAAAACTACCCACAAACATTCTTGGGTACATCCAGGGTGTCATCCGCGAATAATAGAGGACCTCAAAATAAAAATCCTTGAACTTGGGGGCTCCCTGTATAAACATTATAATTAAGCGTAAACAAAAATTTTGTGTTCTACTCATGCTTACATATAGAAATAGGGTAATTATTTTATCGTGATTAGTCATATAAAACTGTTTGTACATAATTTATTTACAATGTTACTGCAACAAAACCCACATTTTTATCTTAAATAGCAAGCTTGCTATGACTCATTACATACAATTTTCTCTCTTGTGGTGCAGTCAACTGTAGTAGGTGAATTACAGGCCAGACCCCGAGTGTCTTGCAGGAAAGCGCCTCCCCAAACCGAAGAGTGTTAATAGGAATTATTGCCTACCTATTCACCTAATAATTAATAAGTTTCAATTGTTCATTGGGGGAGGGGGGGTTACATTACACTGTATACCACATACTTGTATACCTAGGTTGTAAACTCAATTCTGTGTTGTCGTCTTATGACAACTAACCCACCTTGTAGAGATAGTGTTCAGGAGGTTTGTTTCTTAATTATTTAAATATTCATTTGTATCAGTATGTTGATGTAGATTGAGAAATTGTTCTTGAACCTATTTAGTTATTCTTAGGTTCCACTGAATAGTGTGTATTGTACTACAATCCAGTGCAATAGTTCACCTCTCTACACTTGTGAATCAGAGACTATGTGTTTGAGTATTGTTGTGGTTCAGTTTATTAATATGGTTGTCAAGGATAAATGGATCAAATTTCTGACATATATGTTGTTCTGGCTTATATCTCGAATTACCCTTTAGAAGGCAGAGCATCCTTTAGGTTTTATTCTGGCTAACTGGAGACAAATTTATTCAGCTGAGGGGAGCCCCTGTTCACTAAGGGGTTAGACCCCAAAATTAAAAGAGGCGCCGAAGAGGCAATAAGTGCGTTGATACAAGGATCCCTTCAGATCATGGTCTAGTCACCATGTTGCCTTCCCTGTCTTATTAGGAAATAAAAATTATTATGGATGTACAGTGGGGGTTATTAGTGATTGGTTTAATTGATGCTAAAGATGAAGACTTATCACAGTAAGTTGTGAATAATAATTTTGTTTATATACAGCAACTGAAGAAACTTGTGAATGACACACTACAGTTGAAGGCCCATAAGATCAAGCCGGCTGGATATGGTAATAATTGGGTTTACATAAACTTCAGGGATCAGAAGGCAAGAGAGAAAGCTCTGGTTGTCCTGGATGACTACGAATGGAAGAAATGTAGATTCAAAGTATCAGTAAGTATTAACCCATCATATTATATTAGAAAATGCAATAGTTTAATTAAATAATACTGTATGTATGATATTTTGTGTGATATAGAACTGAAGTTACTTATTTTTGCCTTTGTGAAATTTTTATTTGATGAGAAGGCTGTAATAATGACTCTTTAGAAAAGATCTTGAATACTGTATTATGGATCTACAAAAGGCACCCAATTTACAGTAATTAATAGTAGTGTTGATGGCATTCAAACTAAAGGATACAGTAATTTAAATTTTTTTGGATGCTGTTCAGAGATTTTATAGGGAAAATGAAGCATGTGTCTGAAAAGAGGGAAGATCAAACTCATTGAAAGTAGGCTTACATCAAGGCATTTCATAGATGGGATAGCACATGGGAAAAAAACAAAACATACTGGAGAGGGAGGTTAATATGGGAAATAGGAATACTGTTTATAAATAGGATATGAATCAGATGCTGTTTATAGATGATACTACCTTGGCGGATGTTCAGAAGAAAAGTTTTTAATGTTAGTACAGTAAATGTGTTTGGAAATTTGTACTAGGAGAAAGTAAATAGTGAATGGAATGAAAGAAGTGGAAGTGGTGGAGAAGGGAAACAAAAATGGAGATTAGTTGGAGTGATTTAGAGGTTTCACATTGTCAGCCAATGAAATAGTGTTTGATGAATTGAGCCAGAGAGTTGCAGAGAGAAAAAAGAATACAGGTGATAAGAAAGGTGTGAAGAAAGAACTGAGTTTTTGAAAGGGAGCATTGAGTGGTTGATTGGGATTTAGGAGTAGTGAGAGCAAATGAATGAGAGGTTCTTAGTTTATTTTTCTGCACCTGAGCTGGAAAGTTATTTAGTAAATTAATAGAAATGCACACATAAGTATAGGTATAGTTTTTCTTTTTCTAATGTGTATATGAATTATAAATTGTTATCTTTCACCTTCATTTGCCAGAATGCCAGTCCAGTGGCAGATCCACTCATAAAACGTACGGAGAAGGAAGTGTCAAAAAAGAAAGAAAAGAAAGTGGAAATTGACCCAGATGCCAACCTTAGTATTGAAGAAAAAGTTTTGAAAAGTGTATTACCATATGCCCATCTGTCCTACGATGAACAGGTAAATATTTTGCTTATAACTTTCGGGAAGTTTTCTGTCCTGAAACTGGGAATGGTGTAAATTGTAGATACATTGGTGAAGGCCTTCAAACCCCCCCCCCCCCCTCTCTCTCTCAAAATAGGCTTTCTCTTTCTGATGAATGAGCTTGGTCATGACATGTTAGGCATAAAGGTCAATTTCAGCTGCCCATCCCTTAATTTGAGGATTTGTGTTGGGACTTTCCATTTCTTTCAGGGAAGATAGCGATAAGAATGAAGAGTTCTTGTAAAATGATGCCTCTTATTGAAGTTATGCCATGTGGTTTTGCCGTTTACTGTGAAGGGAATGATCCAATTTTCAATGATGAAACCCAAAGGCAAGGATAGAGGAAATTTGTATACTGTACCAATTTGGTGGGTGCCAACTACATAAAACAAGGACACCATCTGGTGGCCATCTTTGGAAGTAGAATAGAATGCAATGGATAACTTGAGTTTCCAGGTAATAGATCTGGATATCATGTTGTTGACTGTACCTGACCTCTCCCTTTCATTACTTCATTATACCTATATACCATGTCACTCACCAAAAGGCTATAGGCCATTAATGAGTGATTAAAGTGTGAAAGCTCATTTTATATCTGAGGACCAAGGTGAGTAACCTTGATTCCCTCCCTCTTCGTAAGGGTTAAAGTCTTAATCAGCTAGGATTAAAGGTTTGGGGAGCCTGTAACCCAACATTATGATTTGAGGGTTATGAGGTGCATTGTGAGTAGAGTTTAACCTCTGATTTAATCACTTCTCTTCCTTAAAAAGCAGCCACCAAAGTGCTGGGTACTTGTCTGGAGCCTTTGGGTGAAGAGCTACTTTCTAACATATATTATTTGAGTGAATATTGTGTCGTACTGCTGAGTGATCATGCCCTTTGACACCTGGCAGGATCTGCCATGGAGAATTCAGTGTACTGGGATTTCACCTTGCTCTTTGGCCAGAAGATGGGATTTCACACTTCATTTATATAGATTGTTTTAGGACAAGGGACTTATTAAGAAAATTTGATTCCTTTTTAAGGAACTGGAATACAGTTGATTGATTAGATATATAGATAGGAAATGATTCTTAGAAAAACTATGTTAATGTTTATATGGCAGTTGGAATCTAAAACAAAAATTCTCTACTTATATGTAACCTGTCTTTAATAACTTAACTCTTTTATAGCTCAAGTTGAAAGAGAAGGAAGCTCGTCAAGTTATGCGAAAGTATGGAACAGAGCTAGCACGTGTCAACCCTGAACTAGTAGAATGGGTTCATTGGCAAAAGTTAAGAAGGGGAGGTCAAATATGTGAAATGGATGACATCATCCCCTCACCAGTCACAGATGGCTATCGCAACAAGTGTGAATTTTCGATTGGTAAGTTCTATGTATTGACTGTAAATCCTGCTTTGCATTCAAATTTCAAGTTTTATTTTACCCTTTTGTCAAGAAAATTACCTATCTGCACACAGTGTACAATAAAACCTTGATAACTCGGCTCGTATGGGGCTCTGGCCTTGCTGAATTATTCCAAATTCCGACTTAACAAGGCACTCAGCCCCCTTCCCACCCCTTACTCCCTACAACTTTACAATAGTAAAAAATTATTGCCTCTTATACGTGTACAATAAAAGACAAAAGTCGTGTCATGAAATTTGGTGAAAACATACGGCGAAGGGCTAAACTTTTTGTGCGCTCTACCTTGTGGTAGGGGGCTATCATAATGTTTCACGAGTTTTATTTAATCTGGACAAAACCGCGACACAGCTTTTGTCTTTGATTGTACATGTAATTAATAATTTTCAAAAAATAACACTTGCCATCACTGCCGGCGAAGAATGAAGCTTTGTAGTTGGTGACACAGACGCATGGTAGATGACACAGGCATGGTAGGTGACGTAGATGATGGAGGGGAAACACTACTTAAACAGTAAACAGTGTGGCACTTATGTATACTACTGTAATTTAGTCACTTATGCAAAATAAGGAATAAATTTCAACAAAAATAATTGTTTTCTCAACATATAATTCAAGTCTAAGTATGTAAATAAATATGTAACATGTCACTCATGTTGTTATAGTCCACCCTAGTAAAACCGTTTTCTTTATTACAAAGCAAAAGATTAAACATTAAAATACTGTACTGTAATGTGGCTTAGAATAAAGAAAATTTAATATAAAACTATAAAATAAGAAAAATGAAGAGCATAGGTGTTTGTGTGTGTGAGGTGAACCTATGTGAAGGCCACTTCAGATGCTTTCGGATTGTTGGACTAAATTAGAATTTTTACCAAAGAAGACAAAAATGGGATACTTGGAAATTCAAATACTAGTTGAAATTCGGATAAAATTAATTGCACTGTAAATTAGATAAAGTCTACGGCATTGGATTTACTGTGATAGTGGAGATGTTCTGCAAACAGTGGTTGGCCTGACATGAATGGGGGAGGTTGTTGGGTGTTAATGATTAGTATCGCAGGAACCAAATTTTACCTGGGAGTGCTGAATATTAATTCTGGTGCCGTAGATAATTAATCTATGGTGCAATGTATATAGTATTCAGTGGACTTTAATGAATTGTTTCACTAAATGTATACAGTAAATGGATGATTGATTGAATGTGACTAGGTACTTCCCTTGAATGATTGTTCTGGTTATAAAGATATATTTCAATCAGCTGCTCTTTCAATTTATCATGGAATTTTGTAGTACCTGTACTAGAATCAGTCATTGGTATAAGTGGATGATACTGTACTCACTAAAACACTGCTTTTGCTTGTTTTTCTTTAGTATAATCATCAAACTCATGGGAATTCTCCTATGACCTTGATTTTCACTCCAAGCAACTAAACAATTGTCTCATATGATTCATCACCTTATCTCTGCCAGTAGTTGTTCTAGTACCACTTAATGGGGTCACACTCAAAGCATATTATTTTTATTATTACCTGTATTAACATATATCATATTCACCATTGTAACTGGATATCTAAGTTCCAGACCAACGTCCTTAACTCTGTTGTCAAACTGCTTTAGCTTCTTTATTTTTCCCTTATAATCAAAATTAATGATTTTCCTTGTCTATTTATGATGTAGAGGAACAGTATCACATGTTGGTCATTTAGATTATTGTTTTTAGAGTTTTGCTAAGGGTTAACAGGTAATACTGTACACAGGACACAGCTTGGTCTTAAGTATTACAGTATTGATGTCTGGGAAAGCAGTGAAGTAATTGGTGTTGTGCATCATTATACATTTATTGTGAATGCTGCTTACAGTGCACTTATATTGTTTTCTTTTATTTTATTTTTATTTTTTGTATTTCCAAAACTGTAATGTAATCAATGCATTTAAGATTTATTTATTTTCCCTAATTTGTTAGCAAAGTTAATGTTGCACAAATAGGTGCAACATTAATAGAGTGTTAATTGTAATGCAGAACTGGATGGCCTAACAGTTTCATGAAACTTGGTTGAAAGGATGCATATGGATATGTGATGCACTTGTGATCAGATTGTTTTCATTGGGTCTTAGAAAAATTAATTGTCATCAGTCATTAAAATGTCAAATTAGGGTATATATATAGTTCGTTGTTATTGGTTGAGGTATGGAGACCTTAGATTGTTCCCTTTTAAGCATAGCATTAGTGTACACACACTTTTAACTGCTGATCAGAATTTCTGAAAGTTTATCATATAGGTTACTCCTTAATTCATGTACTGTACTTGAGCTAATTTAGTTTATATATTAAATAAGAATTTCAATAAAATTATAAATACAGTGCTGTAAAAGGAAACATTTCTTTGAGTTCAGTATGGGAATAGGCTGCAGCATTTCATTTTTGTGCAAGAATTTTTGTTAGCATTTTTAAGTGAAGAACTTTAATTATAGCACATGTATATTATGTTAACCAATTTAAGAAAGCTTTGCCCTTTTGTGCCATTTTTAAAATGTAATTATACTTACTATTACAGTATAGTCATCAAAACAAACACTTCAAATAATGTCTTAAGTTCTGTTTAATTTACAAGTTAACATCACTTTTCATTCAGGTATCAACCCAGACAACAACTTGCCAACAGTTGGTTTTCGCATAGCAAGTTATAAGGAAGGCTCGATGCATGTTGCTCCTGTGAATCATCTATGCCATCTTCCAGATCAAATGAAGAGAGTTGTGACAGTGAGTCAGTTCATGCAGTTGTTCTCCTTGCTTGACATTTTTCCAATCCTCTGTTATTCACTGACTGACAAGCATTTTTTTTTTTCAGATATCTTTTTCTGGAGTAAAATGAGATTCTTTTATCCTTTAAACCATTTTTGAAGTGTGATACAACAATGTATTTTTTTCTTGTGTGAGTGGAAAGGGTAGTGTTATTTTACTTTCCAAAGAGTATGTCTTTTTATGCCTTTGTTATAGAGTTACTGCTTGTGTAATCTACACACAGATGTTCCCCGATTTATGAGTTCGATTTACGAAAATTTGAAGTTATGAAAAAAATTATATAAAATGATTTTTCAAACTGAAATCATCTTTCTTTTTCAATCATTATATAACTCACCCTCAAACTCACTGGAGACAACTAGACTTATTTCCACCAATCACTCATTTACTTGCCTGATTGTCCAATTTCTCCTTAAGTAGTACTCTAAGGTAATGTGTGAAAAAATAGATACAGCTGTACTGTATAAGAAAAAGTCTTGTATTCAGAAATGTCATATTCTAATTATATACATAAAGGTGTAAAGTTTTAAGAGAAAGTGTGGAATTTGGAAGTGAACAAAAGTTTAGAGGTGTGGATTTTGCCTGCAACACACAGGAGAGCATGAATGTAGCATCAGTTGACTGATAGCAGTGTTCATGCCATGTAAACAAAGCAGTAGGAATTAAGGGTGATAATAACTCATCAAGGATTATTATTATTAGTACAGTGCTCCCCAAAGTACGCAGATTTTAAGCGCACGGAACCCAACTACGCACAGCAATACCCTGCAACCCAAATTCCAAAGTACGCGGGCATAAATTTCCGTGCGGCACGGCTGAGTGAGGGAAGGAGAGAGGAGAGAAAGAGGATTTGAGTAGAGGAGCTGGCTGTTGATTGGCTGAGTGGCCACTACCAACCATTAAGAGACAAAGACGTCAGTTCCTGGCCGTGACGTCACTAATAACGTGGACGCCAATCCCAGTCCTCCTCTCCACAAGGCACTACAGTGGCTTACTTTTTCCTGTATTTTTGAGGTGTTTTTGGCTGCGACAGCTACCATGGCTACCCCACCTACTGCTGTTGGGACTCCATTACCTGCCCAGCCAAGCAGAAGAGTGAAGTCGATGACCTTGGCACTCAAGAATGAGGTAATAGACTGGCTGGACAATGGCAAGAAAGTGTTTATTCTTTTTATTTAATGAAGGGTAACTTTCATAGAGGTTATGTGTAGAAAAAGTGCTTTGAAAACTAGTTTGGGCTTCATGATGTGTATCTGCAGGGGTCCCGGAACCAATTGTTTTTTCCCATTTGTTTATAGTACCCAAGTACACAGTTCCCAAGTATGTGCCGCTCTGTTGGCACCAATTACCTGTGTATTTGGGGGAGCACTGTATTAGTATTTTATATATACTGTACAGTAATTAAGGATTATTTATTATTGGTATTTTATATACAGTAGATCTTTGCCCTTCGCGAGTTTGTGATTTGTGATTTCGACGATTCGTGGTAAGCAGATGGTGGCTAGCTTGGGAGCCTCTTTCTGCAGCTCAACACGTCACCCCACGTGCCTGCAGCGTCTCCTCTTTCTCTGTTTGCACTCAACCATTGCCTGTGATGCAGCATCTCATGTTGTACTCTCAAAACTTTAGTGTTTCTGTGTGAAATGGCCCCTAAAATACTGCCTAGTGTCAGTGCTAGTGATGCTTGTGGAGTGAAATGTAAAAGGCAGAAGTCAGTGATGACTCTGACAAAAAAGTTGAATTATTAGATAAGTTAAAAGAGGGGATGAGTGCTGATGCTGCTGGTCGGTTGTTTGGTATAGGTATACAGTAGTGCACTAAAGTAGTATAAGTTGCTAGCTGCGGATTTGCCTATTTGCGCCATTCCTTGGAACCTAACCCCCGTGAATAACAAGGTTTTACTGTATACAGTAAAGACACTCCCTAGGTTACGGATGGGTTCCATTCCTACAGGCTATCCACAAGCTGAATTATCTATAAACTGGAAGTGACCCTTCCACAGGTAATCATTGAACACACACAGTACACATAATGTATATACAATTTCTCTACTGTACAGGTATAGGACCATTTATCTGACATGCTTGGGACCTGGAGTTTTCCGGAATTGGAGCCCCAAGCCGAAAATGTGGAGTAAACCTTCTGTAACTGGCTGTGCAGACTCTGTTCGGGTCACAGAATTTACCCCTAAAAGTAGCTTTAACTGTATGCTGGAACATTAAAACTTAAATATCATTGGCATATATGTATATCAATAACAAAAACATATACAGTAGATTCCTGGATATGCGGGATCCATGAAACTGGCAGATTCAACTAACTGGTATCAAAATGAAATAATAATAATGAAAGTAAAAATTCCCCCAAATCAACTAGAATTGTAAGTTTGAATACCGCACGCAACAGGGATGAGCTGCCTTATTTACTGCTATGATAAATAATAAAATCAATACATAGCATAAATAAAATCGATATACTGTTTAGCATAAATAATATTGATACATAGCATATCATAAAATATAATAGTGCATATTTTATGTATAAAAACTAGCTCCTTCTATACTTAAACCATTCTCTGGGTGACATGACACAGTTCAGGCAGCCACGCAGCTGACTCACATGTGTGGCTGCCGTGCTTGCTGAGTGTATGCTATGAGGTCACATCAGGAGGGAGCATGGCCTCGCAGTTATAGCTGAATAACCCTCTGCCTTCAAGAAATAATGCTCTGCCATGTACCCTCTGACCTCCTTAGATACTGAAAACTTTATACTTTATGATATTTACTGTATTTATTTTATTTGTTTTTGAACTTTCTGTATGTTGGATGGTGTGTGTGTGTGTGTATCTGAGTAAAAAAAAATATGAAACTTAAGTTTATCTTAACCATATTATGGGTTGAAAATACAGGACTTTATACCTTGTGATTATTATATTTTTATTTTTATTTTCTATATAAGATTGAGTGAATACATAACTAAATAGAGAAATTAAGAAAATTAAATACCTGTAAAGTATCTACCCAAAATTATGAATTAAAAATTAACCATAACATATTATAGAGCTCACAGGCGAGGTATGGTTGGAAATATTTCCGCTGAGCCCAAGAATTACTTGGCACCCATTTTACGTAGGACTTATGGAAGAGTATCTATCTGTAAAGTCGGAAATCTGTAGCCCGAGTCATCTGTAACCCTGGGAATGTCTACCGGGTATACTGTACTGTATAGTATACAATATATTGATACTGTATATATAGTTATAATTATTTTTATTTACTTTACTTTAAGAGAATGTATCTCCAATTACAGTATACAGTACATAAATTTATTATAGATGTTGGCCTAGTATTTCATAAAGTTCACTTTTATTAAAATCTCATCTGGTTTTTCACAAGTACAGTACCTGTACAGGTTTAAAATTATTACTGTACTGCATGTATTTCTCTTATTACATTTATTATTGGCTGATAATTAATCATTGTGTCCACCAAAGGTTTTCTTTGAAAATATACACTTTAGCATTTTAAGACATTTTGGGGAAGAATATTTTTTTGGAATGTATTTCAGACTATAAAATGGGAGTCTATGGGAAGATGTGCTATGATTTACAAAAAATTAATTATTTTACAAAAGGCTTTTCTGGAATTGAATCCTCACATAAATTGGGGAATGCTTGTATTAACTAATATATTATGCTCTTCTCTGTCAGATACTGTAGTGATTAAACACTTTCATTATTTTTGTCTTGAATAAATACTGTAATGGATAATGTTGGTTGCCGATTACTATAGTATGAATATTTCCATATTACTCTTTCCCTTCAAATAAAGTAATCAAAGGTTTGGAACCAGCATTTTTATCTAATAACAAAGCAATTATCTATGAAATACCATGTAACACTATCTTATCATCAAAGTAGCAATAGTATCTTCAAGTTTACTCCAAGTCAACCCAGATTGAATAATATCATATTGAGTGATTGTAAGAGTTGCTTTGCAAGATGTATAAATTTTTGTCAAAATCTCTGCATTATCCTTGCAGGAGTTTGAGAAGTTTGTTAGAGATTCAGGACGTGCTCCATTCAGTCCATTAACACACGAAGGTTTTTGGCGCCAGCTAAATATTAGAACAACTCGCAACAAGGATATTCTCATCATCCCAATGGTTAGTGAAATTATTTGTTTGTACATTACATATTTTTGTAATAAATGCAACAAGAGAAATATAGATATACAACTTCATAGATTTTTGTTTTCTCTGTTGTTAATGTTAGCCATACTGTACTTCCCACGGTCATCCAGGTTTCCACTCAGCTGAAAGCTATTTCTTCATTCTCAGTTTACATACCCAGTTAATATATTTGTAATGAAAAGTTGGATGAAATTTGTTTTAATGACTAACTGTTCAGTCAATATGGAGATTGGCTTCAGATTTTGTAAACCAGATTTAGGACCTTGTGGGAGTACCTGAGAAAAAGATCAGTTACAGAGAGAGTAAATGAATAGAGGTTATGTCTGCTTATTTGTTTTTGCTCCCAGCCACCCTGTATTGAGTAATAGGTGGCTTAAAATAGTATAAAAAGATAATGTATTCATATCTCCAGCAATAAAATAGAAAGTCTTACTGGGATGTGGGAATTTGAAAGTAGGTAAAGTTAAACAAATATATCAAGTACTGTTATCTAAGAAAGCTTAGTTCACAGAAGTCTTATGGTACAGTACGCCCGGATTTTTATTTCGCTGTCCTATATTATTTGCGGATGACACACTGGACGTACCCAAGAATGTCTACGGGTAGTTTTAAAGTTGCCGGCATTTTTGCAGCCGAGACAGGGAGACATTTGTTCTAGAGACAGTAATTCCCTTTACCTGTATTGCATAATAATAATAATAATAATAATTAACGGTTTATTAACAAAGTTCTGCAGCCCGAAGGCTGAAAATATACATTGGACATAAATGACTTATTACATACATTGGTGGTTTAACAAAAGCCTTCATTAGAGAAAGGTAAAGGAACATACAGTGAACATACAGATTAATGTAGGTGTTGAACAGCAAACTCGTAGTGTAGTAACTCCCTCCCAGATGGTGTTAGGAGGGACCTCACGTGGTGTAGTAATTCCCTCACAGATGGTGTTATGAGGGGCCTCACGTAGTGTAGTAATTCCCTCACAGATGGTGTTATGAGGGGCCTCACATGGTGTAGTAATTCCCTCACAGATGGTGTTATGAGGGACCTGACGTGGTATAGTAATTCCCTCACAGATGGTGTTATATGAGTGAGGTGTGGTCCCAGTCCTTCCTATCGTAGACGGATTAACACATCGCTGGTTGTTGTTGGGTCTCACGGGCCGTTATCACTGGGTACCTGGGACCTCACTGTGTGAAGGTTAAGTTGGGTACGACTGTTACTGTTGAGTTGTTCTCGCTGACTTAAGCACTGTTCACCACTGTTCACCTCTGTTTAACACTGGTTCCGTTCCTTTCCTAAATGAAATTGTAACTTCTGGCGAGAACTTGTTGATATTCTGGTAGGGAGGAGGGTTCAGGGGAGGGAGTTGGTATGGGCCAACTTAACAGTTGACCTGGCTGCTCCGAGAGGAGCGCCAGGTACGTCTTGACCCTTCGGTGGTCAAGGATATATGTGTGTGTGTGTGTGTGTAGACACTACACGCAAAACACATACAAATAAATAATAATGGGAAAATCCTCTCACAGATACAATAATCAGAAACAAATGTACAGTGGTCCCTCGATTAACGAACGGCTCAATTAATGAAATTTCGGTTAACGAATTAGTTCCCATAAGGATTTTCAATTCTATTAGAGAACAAAACTTTGTTTAACGACAGCCTTACGAGAAACACGCTTTGTTGTGCTTATCAGTTGATCGGATAGTCCGCCAATACAGTAATTGGTTCTATGTTTACATTCGTCTTCAGTGGAGTAAATATCAAGAAAGTTGTGCTCTTGAATATTTTTTGCATTTTTTATATTAAAATTATTGGTCATTCTAATTTAGTTAACATATTGATAATACTGTATATACAGTACAGGGAACAGTTGTTGTGTGCCAATCAGCTGATCGAATCACCTAACCGCTTCTCAGTTTAACTTTGTTTACTGTGGAATGATCATCCAGTTTTTTGGTCTCTTGAATATTTTTCATTAAAATTATTGGTCATTCTGAAATTTAGTTCACGTATTGATATTATACAGTGCAGAAATTATTTTGAAACATGAAGGCATTAGAACCAATGCACTCTGTAAAGAATATGGTATTTCATCATCGACTGCCTCTATAATCAGCTGTTTGATATGTAAATAAAGCTGCCGTGAATATGACATACACACCTCAAAGTAAGTTAAAATATAGTATTCCAGTATTCCATTGTTTTTTATTTATTATTATACAGTACAGTATACTGTACTGTACAGTTTTGTTAATTCTATTACCAGTATACAGTACTCTGTATGTACTTTTTCTGTGAGTTGGAACAAATTACCCTATATCTCATGGAAATAATAGAATCAGTGAACGAAATTTTCGGTTAACAAACGACTCTGTGGAACCAATTGTGTTCGTTTATCGAGGGACCACTGTATATTAAAAATGTTGAGTCTGCCCTCAAGTCTACTCCGTGCTTTATTAATAACAAAGCACTAAGTGGACTTGAGGGTTGACTCAATATTATTAATATACATTTGTTTCGGATTATTTGTGAGAGGATTTTCCCATTATTATTTATCTGTATGTGTTTTGTGTTTGTGTCTACACACACACACACACACACACACACACACAGTTTGAGCTGATCCCCATCTAAGTTATTATATGTCTTATTTGTGTCACTTATGTCACTTGTATATTATTTGTAACTCGTAACCCATTCCCCAAATATGTAACTGTATATTTTCAGCCTTCTGGCTGCCAAGCTCTTTCAATAAACCGTTAATTATTATTATACAATACAGGTAAAAGAAATAATTGTCGGAAGGACAAACACATAAAGGGAAAATACATTTTTATTAACACAAGTAAAAATGTAACCCTCCCCCCCTTCCCCCCCGGTCAGCAAATGTTATTCGCGGATTTGGTGATTCACGGCCATTTTGAGAACCTAACCTCTGCGAATATGGAGGGCCTACTGTACTGTAAATTCATTTACACTGAATTTGTATTAATTACTGTGTGTTTTTCCATTGAAAGTTAAGTTGTTTATTTGATTTTTTAATGCTAATAAGGTGATTATCATGTATTGCATTGCTCATTTAAGCATTTATTGAAGGTAGGTAAGTAGCAGAAAATTGCTCTGTCAGCTAAGTATTCTCCATAGGCCAGAATCTTCAGTCCTTGGAACTATCCTACGGCCATAAATTTTTTTTTAGTATTTTGAAAAATTCAGGGGAAATTTATCCATTCAGGTATGGAAAGAAATTTCTGAGGATTGCATCATGCACATTCCAAGAAAATCTCTCCATTCTGGGCATGCTCCGATGTGTGGAGGCTTGCCATGCGCATGGGTGGGATAACTGCCTTGCAATTGACTATTTTTTAAATAACGCGGTCAAGACAATTTAAATTTGCCGCGTGTATTTGCCTGGTCGCCTGGCAGTGGAGCCGCGTGTGATGCCTGGTGAGGTGCTTTTAAGCTATTACTATAAAGTTACAGTCATATCAACATCAGTGATTTTGATATTATTATTAATAATGATAATTATTATTATAATGTAATAATAAGGGTTATTACTACTAAGCATGATGATAATGAAGTATTCTGTACGACAAATGTCACGACGTTCAGCAAGCTTCCAGTGAATCGCTTTCTCAGTTCACACCAGCACTACCTTTTCTCTGTGCTCTCATTTGCACTGTGTGTTTATCACGTACCTTTTTAGTGTTAAACGCTGTTTTCCCCATTGAGCATGTCTGGAAAACGTCCATCTGCCTCCTCAGGGGCGCCTAAAGCTAAAATGGCACAAAAAACAATTGCAATGGACCTGAAATTAAATGTGATCACCCGCCTTCAGAGAGGAGAGCGTGTGTCGGAGGTTGACAGTGTGCTTGGTTTAAGTGAGAGCACTGTTCGTACCCTGTGCGGTATGTGATGGTTCCCCTAACCTGTACAATTTACATGTATTCTTATGGGAAAATTATGATTAATTTATGCATTTTTGAATTAAGCGGTGGTTCTCAAGAAAGTAACCCCCGCATAAAATGAGAGGTGGGTGTACTGTGCATCAGTGTACCAGGACACAGTCAGCCAAGAATACAGTGTTAAAGCAGCGTTAAGGTGTAAACAGTGGTTACCGTTTATGTACAGTAGTTACAGTAATTTACATTCAGTAAGTGTGAGCACTGTACATATGGTACCCTGCAAAGCAGAGTGGACGATGTTTGCGGACTGTAGCCAAGTGTGTAGTGTTTGTGTGTACTGCACTGTACTTTACTGCATGTATACAATACTAAAAGCTACAGAAAAAACCTGTGGCACCAGGGGGTCGAGGAGAGGTACACTGAATAGACTACCTATAAATGAAAAATTAGCCATTCAGAACAAACTTGAGAAGACTGTGCCTGTGAAAGTGTTAATGGAGGAGTATGGACTGGGCATGTCTACCGTCTACAATGTGAAATATACCAAAGGAAAGCTAAGGAACAAACACTTATGCCAGGTGCAGGTGAGGAAGGTAGCCTCTCCCATACTCATATGGGTACCTTAAAATACGAGAAAGTGGATGCTGCAGTGTATAACTGGTACAAGCAACAATGAGCCAGTGATGTTCCCATTCTCGGTATTGAGCTCGATGGTGCTGCACGGCGATTTGCAACCCTGCTGGATATGCCTGACTTCCATGGGAGCTTTGGCTGGCTCTATAAATTTTATAGGAGGCACAGATAAGCAACAGGCAAGTGGCTGGTGAGAGTGCCAGTGCTGATGTGGTGAGTGTCCAGCCATTCGGAGAGGAACTGCAACAACTCATCCGTGCCAGTGACATTAAGAAATATGAAATGTACAGTGTGGATGAGATAGGCCTCTATTGGAAGTCCCTGCCTAACAACACTCTGGCATCATGGCAGGAGAGCAGCAAGCCTGGACTCAAGGCTAGCAAACATAGTGTGTCAGTGCTGTTGTGTGCCAATGCTGCTGGGACCCATAAAATAAAACCCTTGGTGGTAGGAAATGCCCAGAGGCCTAGAAGGCTGTGTAATTCTATGGATCATCATCCTGTGTCCTGACAGGGAAACAAAAAGGCTTTGTTCACCCGGGAAATATTTGAAGGCTGGTTCCACCATGTCTTTGTCCCTTTTGTCAGACATTTCCAGATGACACTCCATGGCATCCCAGGCAAGAGGTCAAAGCCTTGCTCATCCATGACAGTGTGCCTGCCCACCCTCAAGATGACTTTAAGAAGTGCTGGTGGGTGAATCAGAGTGAAGTTTTTGCTACCCAGCACCACCTCACTCATACAGCCTGTGGACCTGGACCAGGGCATCATTCTAGGCTGCAAACACCACTTATCTCGTGAATGATGTTTTGGTGGTGGAACCAAAGGGGGAGGGCACTGAAGAATATCAAGGATGCAGTGTTCAACCTCAAGGGGCATACTGGGACAAGATTGCAGAGGCGACACTGAGGAGTGGGTCAAAGAAGCTCCTGAATGTTGGTGGTGGGGCTATTACAGAAGCTCTGTTACTGCAGGAGGGTGTGGACTTTGAGGGCTTCAAGGTGGAAGAGGCCCCCACACTTTTCCGGGACAGTGGTGACACTTCTGTGACCAAGGAGGATGTAGGTAAGTGGTTATAGGTGGATGCCAGCGATCCTGGGTATGGTGCCCTCATCCAGGAAGAAATAGTAGCTGGTGTCATCAAGTCCTATGAAGAAGGACAAGAGGATGACAGAGAGGAAAAAATGGAGGAAATTCCTACCACCATTCTCAGAACCTTTGGGAGATGAGACCAGCTACTTTTGGTGAACTGCAGAAGAGAATCAAGATGAAACAGCATATGATTGGGGACTACTTACCCACGGTCTTAACTCCAGTCCCCAGGTGTCCTTGTACTATCTCCTATGTCAGCTTGGCTAACACCAGTGGTGACAGTATTTCTGGTCTCAGCCCACAGCCCTCAACATCAGAGATTGCACACCTACCATCTTTATCACCACCACATGACTTGTCATCAATCTGTCCATCACCACGACCCAGCACTTCATCGGCTCTGGAAATCCTTTGTGTCACTCCTGATTTGCCTCTCTGCTTCATGAAGGAAGAGCACAGTGACAGTTAGGACCAGCTGCCACATTGATGGTACAGGACAAAACAGGCCATCCTGTATCATCATATCACCATTTGGCCTGACTGCATCACAAGCTTGAGACAACATCTGCTGGTGAGTACATTACTGTATATACAGGCATAACCCGATAACCGATGCATATAGGGACCGGGAAAAGTCGTTCGTGAATCAATGGTTATCAAAGCAATTAATCCCAAAAGAACATAACAAATTCCGGGGGCTAGGGACCAGCCACCCTCCAAAAACTCCCATCTACCCTTGACATTTCTCTGTACTGCACACTGTCAAGCAAGAAAATAAAGCAGACAGATAAAGCAAGCATAATAAGATTAAATAAGGAATGTAAAGCATAAATTGAGACTTATTTACCTGTGTTGAGGATGGTAGAAAGTCTAGGGTAGCAAGTTCAAGTCTCTACCACTCTGCTGGTCCATCACCACTCTTCTTATGCCTTATTATGCCTTATCACATTACGTCAAGTTACCCAGCACAAGAGGAACTATCACTGGGGTGTTTAAGCATGTTTGAGTAACACACTCAGAAATAAAAAAAAACTCAGTCAGAGACACATAGTAAGAGTAAACAAGAGCAAAGATGGTAGGAATGAGTCAGAGGCAGTGCTCAGAGCCCTCGGGTGTCAAGAATTTGCCCCACTCCAGCTCTGCCGATTGTTGGATCTCCAGGGTATCAACAAAACTTGTGGGGTATTTTCACTATGTAATCATCGGTTATGTGTGTCATCAGTCGAGGGGACGTCATTTATCGAGGTTCTCCTGTGCAGTACTGTAGTAGTATATACTTTACACACTCTCACCAAAAACTTTTTGAATGCTATAAGCACTATGCAATCTGAAACCATTCTGAGATGACAAGCCCCATTCTGCTCATTCTCACATCCATCGTGCCCCGATGTTCTAGAAGCTTTTGTTGAGAGTGTACTGTACATTATTTTGCTTATTTACTTTATATTGTACATGTACAGTGGCATTTGCATAAATAAATACAGTATAGCTCTGTGCCTGTCCATGCAAGGTGATCAGTTTAGCCTCTTGGAAAGCTTTCCCCAGTACCGTACACAAAAAATTATGGAATGTGTTTTTTCCCGGGATGAGAAAATTTGTCTCTATACCCGGAAATCTCTCAATCCAGAAACTTTGCCCCAATTATTCCAGCTAACAGGGAGATTACTGTATACTGGACAAAGGTAACTACAGCTCCTCCCCGACTTACGACCTACTCGACTTATGACCACCCAGACATACAACCGCCTCGGTCTTACCAAAATTTTTTCAAATTATGTATTTTCGAGTCCCAACGTCGGTGATTGCGCTGTGTTCTGACAAAAAAATTTTGTTGTAATTTACTTTAAAATGGCTGATTAGCTTAAAAGTGAGAGTTTTGTGGTGCTGAGAAGAAAAAGAGACACCCATTTTAGATTTTCTATGTATTATTTAAGCATTTTCGACTTACGACCTGGATTTGGCTCCCTAACCCCATCGTAAGTCGGGGAGAGGAGCTGTATTTATATTTTTTGAGGGACTATTCTATTGCATGTATAGCAAGGGATTTTAGGTCAGCTTATTTCTTCTTACAGATCCATCCCCAAGAGATGAACAAAGAAGAACAAGAAGAATTGAAAAAGAAGATCGTTGATCATTTTACTGAAGGTCCTGGCAAGTCATTTGGTGTAACCTCTATATTCTTCAAAGCCTATGGACAAAAGTAAGCATACAGTATTTGAGTCAGTACTGCTGCCAAAGCCAATGGCTGAATTAATCTGCTTAAAATTTGAGTTTCATATCAATTAGTTTTGCATTTTCTCATAACATTTGGTATTTCATCATCACCACCACCACCATTTTATGGCCATTTTCCATATTTAGGTTTGTTAGCAGCCATGATAAATGTATATACAGGTTGTACCTCTCTAGTCCGGCATTCTGTGGTCCGGAAACTCCCGTGGTCCGGAACGATTTTAGTTTGTCCAATAGGTAGATAGGCAGCTTTTTTTTTTTTTACTTATCTGAATTATTATTATTATTACAGGAGTATTAAATTTTTGCCCCTCAGGCCCCAATGTGGGTCAGTGACCTATGCCCGGGTGGGCTAATCCCCTTAAAAAAAAAAGCCGGAGGAAATTAAGGTTTGTTTACATCCGGCAGTTCGGCTGCTCTCTCTCTCTCTCTGCTTGTCTATACAGAGTACAACATTTAACCCTTCAATATATATGAGCAGTAAATAAGTGTTGCTTTCATATTCTTATGTAGAGTAATGACGATATATTTTCACATGTGCGCACTTACATACGCGGTCTCACTTTTTTTTTTACCATTAATGGTTAGCTACTTATATTGTTCCATTTATTAACATTAAATAACATTACAGGTACTTCAAGCAACCATATTCATTTTTTACATTAATTTTACTACAGCTAAACTCAGGGTCTTATTTTCTTCAGTTTTATATGTAGAACCAATCAGTCACTGGTTTCGTAAGCTTTAACATAAACAATGCCGGCAGCCGTCTCGTCTCCTCTAATATTCCACGTATTATTAATAAATTGTATTGTTAATTTTGCACACACGTACATTAATTCAATAAAAACAAATTCAGAAACATTAATTAAAATATATATGAACAGTAAATAAGTGTTGCTTTCATATTCTTATGTAAAGTAATGACGATATGTTTTCACGTGTGCGCATGCGCACTTACATATGCGATCTCTCTTTTTCTTTACCATTATCGTTAGCTACTTCTATTGTTCCATTTATTAACATTAAATAACATTACTTAAAACAACCATATTAATTTTACTACAGCTACAACCAAGGTCTTATTTTCTTCAGTTTTATATGTAGAACCAGTCAGTCACTGGTTTTGTAATCAACGAAAACAATGCTGTGTCATTTCCTCATGTGTTTTAATTTTCTACGTATTATTAATGAATTGTATTGCTCATTTTGCACATATAAACATTAATTCAATAAAAAAGACATTCAGTAATAAACAATAATGAATCTTTTGTACATAAGAGAAATGACGCTGTTTACACGATTATGCACGTCGTCTGCACGTTGGCGGGCCATTCAAACCCGTCAAAATTCAAGTTTCCGCCGTCAAAATTTTTATTTATTTATTTTTTTGTGTGTTCCAATAAAATACGTTAAGAATTAAAAACTCGCGAAATTTGAGAAGCTACTATACGACATTTAACCCTTCAATATGTCTTCAAAGAGACCATGACGCAGAGAAAGTGGTGCTAGTGCTTCCAGGCATAAGCAAAAGTCACTATCTATCCAGGAAAAGGGTGAATTTCCATGGTCCGGCAATTTCCATGGTCCGGCACCGGTCAGGTCCCGAGGTTGCCGAACTAGAGAGGTACAACCTGTACCTGTATAATATTCAGGTTCTTTCAGGACACTTTACCTTGATTAATTTCACATGGGATGATTCCCTTTACAGTATTATAAACAGAAAAGTATGTAGATACAATTCCTGTCATGCATTTTTATGTTACTGTGAATTTAAAGTTTTTGTCTCGAACACAGAAATACTGGAAGTAGGATATTTAAATTTTTGTCTGTAATTAATGTATATGAGGTGATTTTTTGTTTTATATTTTCCAGGGAGCAGGGTGAAGAGATTGAACTTGAGCACTTATGGGGTACTGAGTATATAACTGAGACTATTCTGGACAAAAAGTTCCGTGTTTCTCCCGATGCATTTCTTCAGGTAAGGATTTTATGTCTTAAACCTTTAAAGCAGATTGAATATCAAGTGTGGACAATATAGTCATGAAAAATTAAGATATTTATTCGGGTAAAATTCAGTTGTAGAGCTCTGATGAATTTGTACACCATTAGCAGTTGCCTAATATTTGGTCTGATATGTCTGTCAATAAGCTTTTCATTATTTTTGTTTTCTTTTTTCCTATTTGTTGGTTTATATATGGTAGTTCCCACCCAAACTGTGGCACGTTGAACTGTCTTACAAAATGCAATATCTATTACATCTGCTGTATGATAAACTTAAAAATACCTAAAATACTCTTAAAATAAAATTTAAATATTTTTTTTTATGAAAATTAAAATGTCAAGGGTAGAATGATTTTCAGCTTCCAGTTATACTGTACAGGGGATCCCTGGGTTATGAATGGGTTCCGTTCCTGAGGATGTTCACAAGTCAAATTTGTACTTCTGAACACATGCTATATGCATACCTAACTTACAAAACATTGTTTAAAACCCCACTACAGTGGTCCCTCGGTTAACGAAATTTCGGTTAACAAATTACCTTCCATAAGAATCTTCAATTCGGTTAACGAAAAAAATTTGATTTACGAAATCCTTACGAAAATCACATTTTGTTTTGAACATCAGCTGATAAGCTGAGGAGGTACTCAGCCAATTCAGTTATCTCTTCTATGTTTACATTCAAATCAATCACTATCTTTTATGAATTCCAGCAATGCAAATTAAATTCACCCCGGTCACTTCTATTAAATTTTATTAGCAAAAAACAAAAACTCAATCTAAAGGACATAAACTAACAATTAAATACTTCACACCACAGGTGCCAACTGTCAAACATGTCACTGTCACCCCTCCCTCCCTACCTCCCACCTTCCTGAGAAACGTTTGGGTAAAAAGACTAGGTTTACAGGTTTAAAATTAAATAATACCTCAGACAAAAGTTAGGATAATATAATTTGCATTGCTGAAATCCTTGCAAGACAGGGAATAATTTGAATATAATGTCATATATTTTGCACAAAAGATAAAATTTTTGCTCTCCCTAATAAAATTCTTTAATTAGATCTAAAATTTGTATGTCTAATGCAAATTTTAGCTTGTTTATATTCAAATTAATCACTATCTTATAAGAATTCCAGCAATGTAAATTATATTCTGGCTTTACTTTGTATATACTTTTCTGTGAGCTGGAACCAATTATCCAATATCCCATTGAAACAATGGTTTCGGTTAACGAACGACCTTCTGGAACGAATTATGTTCGTTAACCGAGGGACCACTGCATATCATAGTCTAAGTCCTTATATACATCTAAAATCACTTAATTTAAGACAAAAGAAGAAATAGAATGACAAAATACAGTAAATGAAAGTAATAAATAAGTCATCAGGTAAATAAAATACCTGTACTGTAAATTTCATGTTTAATCCCATTCGTATCAGCGGGTGTTCGTAAGTCGGGGACCTCCTGTATATTGTATATAAAATAAGTTTTGTAATGTTTTTGAATGGTGGAAGAAAGTTTAGTTTATACCCAGCAAAAGTAAATCTCACAAAATGTCCATGCATTATGTTAGCTAAAATTTTAAACTACAAAATGTTATTATGTACTGATGTACTGTACAGTATTGTAATTATGTACAAGCATAGTTACAACTTTGTTTATTATACAGGGTATAGTCATGATTGGTACAAAATAATGATAATGTGATGAGTTGCAGTAATACTGAAGAAAAATATTGGTAAAGGTGAATGATAAACCTTGGCATTAGCAACTTGGTTAATGGAGATGTTACAGCAGTCATAGTGAATGGATGGCAAGAGATGAAGAGCATTTGTGTTTGCTTATTGTTTTTACCATCCTACAGTATAGTGGGAAAGGATGTGCAAGGTTGAAAACACTTGATAATACATTTCCTGGTTTCACATTTTGACTCAAAAGTATTGAAGAAAACAATATAAATGTTTTGTTAACATAGTAGCTAAAAGGTGTTACATCAAAGAGATAAAAGGTAGTTATAGTATAATCTAATATTTCTCAAGTGGGTCCACTGGTTGAGGAGAGTTGATCTTGGCATAGAATATACGAGGTCTGTCCGGAAAGTATCCAGCCATTTACAATTGAAAAAAAAATATTGCTTACCTAGGACAATGGTGCCTTAGTCCACTTCAAAGTACTCCACTTGGGAGCTCACACACTTCTCCCAGCATCCCTTCCACTTTTCAAAACAGTCTGCAAAGTCCTCTTTCGGGATCTTCATCAGCTGCCTCTTCACATTCTCCTTAATCTCGTCCACGGTCTGAAATCTCCTCACTTTCAACGGCGATTTTAGCTTTGAGAAAAGCCAGAAGTCGTAGGGAGCCAAATCTGGGCTGTAGGGGGGCTGATGCGATGTTTTGTCAAAAAACCCTGCACGAGACGTGATGAAGCTGCCATTCACCACTTGCCCACAGTTGCAGTCGTTTTCTTCTTATCGCATCCCTCAGCCGGCGAAGAACTTTGATGTAGTACTCCTTCGTTATTGTTTGGTCATTGTAAATGTGACGGTCACACAGTACCCACGCTCACTCATGACGTCTGCCGGTCAACTGGGTTGTCCCACGGGAGTGTGGCTGTTCATGCATGCGCAGAACGGTCCTCTCTGAGTGGCTGCCAAGTTACATCAAGGCCGCTCAATATTGTGGACATTATTCAAATCATGGAATGACTAGAATGTTGTGAATAATTCAGTAGATGTTTTGCAAATTATTTATAAGGCTAAATCATCCAATGTGAATGAGATTCAAGTTATTAATATTGAAATTAAATATCTTGTACAGTACTTTTATTTATTTATTTTTATTGTTGTATTGTATTTCTTTCAGGTGAACACAGCTGCTGCAGAGGTGCTCTACAATAAACTTGGATCCGTGGCAGATCTTGATGGCACTTCTGCACTTTTAGATATTTGTTGTGGTACTGGCACTATTGGCATCTCCCTGGCAGATGTAAGTATATTTTTATGTGGTAATGGTTTCTTATTATGCAAATTCAGTTGCAGGTAAATATAAATAAGGCAAGATTTTATTGAGTAATGATGTGATTTCAAATTGGTAAAGATTCAAAATAATTTAAAATGAAGGATTGAAGTATGAAATTTCATGTTATGATCAAGGGAACAAGGAAGAGAGACAAGTAAACTATTAGATAGCCCCACTAAAACAGTCCCTGTTGGAGGCTGCATTTTGAAGCAAAGATAATTTCTTGTTGTATCATTATACAGTCAGTAAATAAGTATCAGACACCCCAAAGCCAGTGTGATAGAAAATGAACAATAAGAACCAACCGATGCCCATAACCACAAGTACTGTATATGTTGTTACACACGGCTGAGTGGTTGATACTTTTTTATTGACTATACATTGCATATATACAGCTACTTTCGGTCAGATCACGATTTATGAAGTAAACTTGAGACTGATTTGGTGGTCATTTTGAAAGCCAGCAAACCAACATTTACACGCTAAGACGAACGCTGAATTAATTTGCTTGACTCAAGCTGTCAATCACACTTTAGGTAAAAAACATCATTCCCCTCATTTCCTTGCTGATGTACGTATTCACCATGGGAGGAGAGAGGGATCCTATACAGTATGGTACTTCTGTCATCCCATAAAAAGAGGTTTCAAGTCTTAATTAAATAACTATAAAGGCATAAGTGCAAGCAGAATAGTTGTGTTGAATGAGATACAATACCTTTAAATAGCACAGTACAGTACAGCATATGAAGATGCAAGAGTTCTCTTGAAGGCTTTCTGATTGGCGAGAAATTTGAGATGTAGGTTTATTCAAACTCTCTGAAAGCATTGAAACTAGAAAGGATTAGATATCCATATCTTGCCAGACATTTAAGGCCAAAGAATTGGAACGAAAGCCAGTGCCCTCTACATACCGGGACACAGACTTGCTCTTGAAGTGAATTCCTGATGACTGGGAATGTTTTCCAAAAGATGGAAAACTGAAAGACAAGAAGAAAGCTCCCTAATACCAATAGAACTAATATTGTGTGTCTGTAATTTGGGGAAGTTTTGTATAATTTGCAATGTACAGAGATAGGTAAACTGAAACTTTGCTCATGAGATATTCGCAGAAATTTCTTTAATAAAAGCAGGTGAATAATTTTTTATTTTTTTTATTTATTTTTTAATGTTCAGACTGTGGGAAGAATGGGACCACAATGTAGATTTTGTCATTCAGTTATGAGAAGAGCTGTCCTCAAAATCTGACCAGCTAGAAGTCATCAAAATTTTCAAGATACAGTACGAGAAAAAAAAAACATAATCTAATCCTCTGTTACCAGACTCCGAACACTCTTTAAGAGATTTATTAATGTCTTTGAATTAATCAGCTATTTGTCGCTATAGACAAGGGGCGTGGCTTACGGGCCAGGTTAGCGTGGAAATAGTATAATGAAGAGAGATGAAATTAATGGTAGTTTGAATAGACACAGTTTGGAAGAAGTGAGATTTGTCAGGTAACTGGGAATAAATTTGTCAGTATCATGAAAAAACTATTGTTATTGGTAAAAGCAGCTGACTATTCATTAAGAGGCACAAACACTTATGGCATGTACAGTAATAGAGTTTTGGTAAAATGCCGACTTTAAGCAAGTTTCACATTTGAGGAGGCCACAGAGGAGAGGATATACTGTAATGGCAATGCAATATTAAGTTAATACTTAATGGAAAAAGAGCTTAAATAGAAGAAAAAATTTATTAGGAAAAAATAATTTTTTTGTTTTTGTTTTGACAATATGTACAGTATTAATTTATCTGAGACTGAAATGCCTTGGGAAGATCCATGATGCAGGCACCACTTAATTGAAAAGTGAAAGAGGGTTGCAGAGTAATGGCTGCCTATTAGGGAGAGTGTGAATATGGCACACTGTGTGCAAGGAGGCAGAGTCGCCAGCACTTATTTGACCACCTTCACTTTATATACTTATAAAGATAGGTACCCATTTACAGCTGGGTGTCCTTAAGTCTTTGTTCAAAGTAGCATTGGCAGTGAATTTTGTTTGTTTGAAGAAGATAACATATAACTTGTTATATACAGAAAAGTAAATGTACAACTTCTCTTGTTTTTCAGCGATGCTTAAAAGTGTATGGAATAGAAGTGGTGGAGAAGGCAGCTGACGATGCTCGCCACAATGCAGAAGAAAATGGACTGGAAAATATAGTAATACTTACTGGAAAAGCAGAAGAAAACATGCAAGTCTTGGTGCAGAGCTGCAATAAAGTTAATGTTGTGGGTATTGTGGACCCTCCTCGAGCTGGCCTTAGTAAGTCATTAATCTTCATTTGTTTATCCACTTCTATACATAATTAATTTCCACATTTAATGTCCTGAAGAGTCTAGACGGAGAGCGGCAGGCGAGTGGACACAGCACTCGCCTCCTATTGTGGTGGTTCGGTTCACTGGCACTCCCAGTTCAACCAGCGGTAAATGGGTATTTTAAGTTTACAACTTGGAGAAGAGAGGATGGTCAAGAGTAGTACCGGCCATGCTACTCCCTTGTATACCAAAGGCTTAGTATACAGTATGCTGTATCCACACTGTCCCTAAATGGCAGCCATGCCTATAGGACCCACTTTAACTTTTCAAGAGTATAGACGGTCCTCTTGTGTAATCCATTGCATACTTATGGATCATAAGAACTCTGTGACCGACTCCCCTTTTTTGTTGTAATGTATACAATTGAAATTATTTGTTAGAATATGTGTATGACTTTCCCATGCACAGTTGGCAACAATTCCACCTAATACAGTAACTGGCACATTTTCTGAAATATGGCACCACTTTGTGTGTTTACATATTAATTAACCCGTAACTGGTCATTAGCGTTCAAGTATGTGATCGCCGATGTTGCTACAGTAAAACCTCGATTAACCGCCCATATATGGGGGGAAGGGGCCAACGGATAATCCAAAAGGTCGGTTAATAGTAAATAAAGTCTACGGAAATAACACATATTTTCAACGTACTTATCCCTAACCTACCTCATTTAAGTCCCTCTATTCTTTTTTGTTCATTTGCCATTCATATTTCAAAAGAATTTGCTTTAAAACATTAACCACTTTAGTAAATAAATATGAACCAGCACAGACACCGTGAATAAAAAATGGAAAAGTCAAAGAACATTGTCATCACAAAAATTGTGACCAAGTCCCAGGTTGCTGATCTGACTTTCTGCCTCATTTACACACAATTGCAGGGTTTCAATTATTTATCTTACTATTGACAACACAACATACATACATACAGGTATATTGTTTCTCACTCTTGGTTTTTTTCATTTTTGCATTTCTTTATAGTTCTTTATTATTATTATTATTATTATTATTATTATTATTATTATTATTATTATTATCATCATCATCCTTATTATCACTACATTTTCGCCCCCCAGGCCCCGATGTGGGTCAGTGACCTGTGCCCGGGTGGGCTAATCCCCGTAAAAAAAAAAAAATATTTAGGGGTACGGGATCGGCGGTTAATCCGAAAGTCGGTTAATCGAGGGTCGGTTAATAGAGGTTTTACTGTATCTCTGGTCATTCACGTACTAGAACGTTTTCCAAATATACTTTTCCTGCTCCTTTGAAACTGAGTCTAGCTACCATATTCTGGTGGCTGGTGTTGTCTGGCATCTTGTGTAAACGTTTCCTGCCACACTGCCTTGAGGAACCCCCTTCCCCCCAGGGGGCCCCACCCTCCCGTCTCTCCCCACAGTCAAGGCTGCAGGACTACTCAGTAGAGTCTCAATAGCCATAGCATGTGAATGTAACCGGTCACTCAATCAGGACTAGATATACTCTGAATTATTTGGTAGGGGTGAAGATGAACATGGTATTGACAAAGAGGCATGTATTGGTAGTGATATTGATGATAATGATAGTGACCCGGGCTACGTGTTTGAACGAGGACAATGATGATGATGAGTGGCAAGTGGAGGAGAGAGGGTTGCTGCCCTCCCCATCTCCAGGAACATCCAGTGCTCCTTCAAATTTTGCAAAATGCGCCAGCCACTGTACCGGGTAGAACTGTTACCAACTATAGTCCAAATATAAAGTTTAGATTTGAAGCTGACAGAAATATCGCTGGAACTAGATGTCGTATCTGCTGAGTAAAAAAATCTGAACCTTAAATTTATGGCAGATTTCAAGGTAAAATACATGAAAGTTGATGAAGACAAATTTGAATATTCTGGTTTAATATACTGTACTGTTTACTGTAATACTGTACTGTATATTTTCTTTTCTTCTCTAGATGGTAATGTAGTGTTTGGTCTTCGCAAGTGTGAAAATATGAAGCATCTTCTTTTTGTCTCTTGTGACCCTAATTGTGCTTTCAAGAATTTCATTAATCTGGGAAGACCACAAAGCAAACAATACAAAGGAGAATTCTTCATACCCTTAAAGTAAGTCTCTAAAGTTATGGTAAGTTCCCCCTCAACAGATCAATTAGATACTGTACAGTGATAGGAATGATCCAACTGAAACTTGTGATTTATCAGATTTGTTACCCATTTTTTCTTGACAAAATTTCTTGGAATTAATACCTGGTGAAGGGCTACACACGTTCAATTTTCAACTTCCTGGATGTTTAGGGTTTTGAGTGTGTTTTGGGCTATATAACTAAGGAAGAACACACATGGACATAAATCATGGAAGTTTTTACTGCTCTTTTTTCTGTACACATGACTTTGAACGTATTAAATCAAACAAGGAAATAGATTTTATGTGAAACTAGCCAGGTTTTTTTTAATTTAGGTACTTGTCAGGTCAGTGTGAAAGCCAGTACTGTACAGTAATTTGTTTCCATGTTTCAGGAAGTTGTGGCCTCCTCAAAGCTCGAATTTTGCCAGGGATATACGTATATCACACAGTGACCTCGGTTCTTTTCCATTTTTATTATCATAACCATAAGTGTGAATTTTTAAGTTAATACATTAGTGTGTAATTTTAATATTTTTTTAATCAAACTGTCCATTAATTTTAATGAAAAATCATAAAATTTAATCCAAATCATGTACAGTATATGGTGGTATGATGTGTATGTTCCAAAATGGTTCTACTCCAGTGATCTTTTATTGACTACCTCTATATGAAGCTAACATTTCTTTTTAAATTTACTTTCCTTCGCTTCATTGCTGTACAGTATTCAGTTAACGGTGTTGTATTTTCAACATTTTAATAAGCTGCAGAACCTTTGTACAGTAAAAAATAATATATAATTCAAAACACCTATTGTATATATGGTTATATTATTAGTGTTCTTTAAAGGATCTGTGCCCTGTAAGTCCCACACCAAATTTTGCTATATTTATTGGTTACTATTGGCTGCTGTTCTTGAACTTTTCTTTCTTTTTTTTTTAGTTTTCTTAAACTGCCTCATGTAATGGATATAAATCATTTCTAAGCAAACTACAACCTTTCAGAGCAATCCCTGTTGACCTCTTCCCCCACACCCCACACTATGAGTTGATTATACTCTTTGAACGTTGGGAAGAGCGCAAGTGGCGTCGAATTATGGAAGGTGAGTAGCCACTGTATAGGTTTTTTAATGTAAAATTCAAATTTTCAAAAGAGTATTATAAAAAAAAGTGTTTGTCAGAATTATATATTAATTTTTACATATCCTTACCACCTGCTGGCTGGGAGGAGGGGGGAGGTTACCGGGTAGTTGTCAGTGGAGAGGGGAGGGATTTTTTTTGCTTATAAAATGTTATTGACTTGACTAAGCAAAATATAACTTGCATTGCTGGAATCCTTGCAAGACAGCAATTAATTTGAGTATAAAGATCTCATGGTTTACACAAGAGATAAAAAAATTCATAATTAACTTAGTACATTTGAGGACAGGTTGTGATAAGTGTAATGATTTTTCCATGACTTTTATAGCATTACTGTTTGACTTATAGAAATTGTGGAACATATCCTAATTTTCCCCCTTTGCCTCCCGAACCATTGAAGCTGGTGGACTATCGAGTCCCAGATTAGTGGGGTCCAACCTGCACTATATTTTACATGTTTTATTGATTTATACTAACTGTTTTTCTCTATGTAAATCAGCCCAAGAACCCCCCCAAATTCCTGACCAGACATGCATTCCCCTTCATTCATTGTTTCTTATGGGAAAATTAGTGTAGCATATTGCAATTTCGCTCATTACAAGGATTTTTAGGAACGAACCCTTGTATCAAATGGTGAAAACCCTGTGTGTATTTAGGTGATTTAATTTTATGTATTAGTTTAGGAGTTGTATTTTAGCTAGATTTACATATTGCATTAATTATTTAGGAAATCCACTTCCCCGTGACGATGAGTACTTCCAGCGTGTACCTAAGAGGCCTAGAGCAGCACAAAAATTTTCTCCGACACAGGTAAGTTTTCCTCTCTTGTGAGTTTACATTATTGTATTTCTTATTCATTTAATGTACTGCATAATCTTACATAATTTTCATGATTGATGATAAATATTATGGTTCTTATTTTCAAGGTTTTGTAAATACTAAACCTAAGACCCAAAATGGTGAAGAACATTGAGTCTGTCAGTACCTTGATTAGATGTTTGTTAATATTATGATACAAGTGTAAGTGGCATGATATGTGATGGGATATAATATCTGTTTACTTGGTATTGGCAGTGACACTCAGTTATTAATAGATTAGGCTTATGCTTTGCGTAAATTCATGAGCATACATGGCAGAAGTCATAGGTATGTGTATTTTTAAATGCTATTTCCACAAGTTTCATGATATTATTTTTCGTTATCAAATTCAGTCTGTAGCTGGATTGTCAGACTCCAGTGACTATATCTGTATCCATTAACTATGGTACACCATGATCTCTGTCTGTACTTGGCAGATAACAGGATATTTCTTAGCTGACATACCAAGAAATGTTCCTCATTTAATATTACAGAACAAGTAAGGCTCTTGACTGCAAAGACAGTTACTCATAATACAGTAAAATTCTAGGGGAGCTTAGATGGTGCTGATGATTTAAAATATACCCATATTTAAAAACTACATCCATACTGACACTATTATACTCGTTGTGGCTGTAGCATAAGGACCCATATTAACAGAAGGGTTAAAGCAGACTTATGCCAAAAGTTGCTTTCATATTTCTTTCTGTCTGGTCATTTCTGTCATCTTATTCTTCTTAATCAAATCCTTCCTGGACTAAGCTATTGTTACTATATTGTGGCTAACTGCTCACTTATATTTGCAGGTTCCTCCATGGAATTTATCTATACCTTTTAGAATTGCAATATTATCTTCTTGCTTTTCCTGTTTAAAAATATTACTTATGCAGTAAGGTAGTTGATAGTTAAATTCTTTAAAATCTCAACTTTTATAGTTGATTTCTTGTTCCTATATCTTTTTTTGCCAAATATTGTACATCCTGAAACAATAATATTCCTCTTAGCCGGAACAATTGGTGCAAAGCATTTCCAAGTATTGAGACAAATTTTCATATCCTAGAAAAATCACACATATACAGAATTTTCCTGGGCATTAGTGAATTTTTCTGCATCTAAACTACAAATTTGATACGGAGCGCTGCTGCTACGGAGGATTAACTGCAGTCAGACAGATACAGAGCTGTATTTATTTATGTAAACACTACTGTACACGTAAGAGTATATTGTAAATATAGTATTAATGAGATTTCGGTTAACAAATTACCTTCCATAAGATTCTTCACTTTGATTAACGAGCAATCCCTCGATTAACGAATTCCTTACGAGCGTCCCTCAACATGTTTTCGCTTGTGCACTAGCTGTCGTATTAGTCCGCCAATCGGTTCTAGGGCTTAAATTCCTTACTATATTAGTAAATATCAAGAAGTTTGTACTATTCAATAATTTTAAAAGTCTTATATTAAATTTTTTAGTCATTTTAACAATTATTTAACATAATTGAATACAGGGAAAGTAGTTTTTAGCGCGCCAAACAGCCTGTCAACACACCAAACAGACATCAGTCTCTGTGTCTTTTCAGTGGAGGTAACATCTTGCTTCAGACTCTCTTCAACATGAACGATTTTTTCCGTTTTTACAGTGAAATTATTGGTCATTTTGAAATTTATTTTACATATTGATGATATATAGCGCAGTGCAGTGTTGATTTAAAGAAAATATTCTTTATTTACAGCAATTAAACTTAAAATATCACGTGTTGAAATTGTTTTTGAATCCAGCATGGGTCCCAAGAAATCAAGAAAAGCGATTTCAATCCAGGTGAAACAGGAAATTATTAAGAAACATGAAGAAGGCATTAGAACAAATGTGCTTAGCAAAGAATATGGCATGTCGACATCAACTGTGTCGACAATTCTTGCACAGAAAGACAAATTCAAGGAAGTGAAAGTGAGAGACAAATCTACCAGAGTGTTTAAAGGTAGATTCCTAATAGCAGAAACAGAGAGGTTACTTCTCATTTGGATTAGGGAAAAACAAATGAAAGGTGATTCAGTTTCGACCGAATTTATTTGTGAAAGAGCCAGGGAGATCTACGAACATTTAAAGACAGATCAACCTGGTTCTTCAGGCATAGAATTTGAAGAGTTAAGGGCCAGCAAGGGCTGGTTCGAAAAATTTAAGAAAAGAAGTGACATTTTTAGTGTTGTTAGGCATGGTGAGGCTGCTAGTGCTGATAAGGAAGGAGCAGTAAAATTTTTAGTGGAGTTTAAAGAACTGATGGATGAAGAAAGTTATCTTCCACAGTAAGCGTTCAATGTGGACGAAACTGGGCTGTTCTGGAAAAAAATGCCCAAAAGGACATTCATCACCAGAGATGAAGCCTCTTTACCTGAGCATAAACCCATGAAAGACCATCTCACTCTATTGCTTGGTGCCAATGCTTCAGGGGATTTCCAACTGAAGCCTATGCTTGTCTACCACTCTGAGAACCCCAGGGTGTTCAGGCAACAAAAAGTGGTAAGAGGACGGCTTGGAGTTTATTGGAAGTCCAACTGTAAGGCATGGGTGACAAGACAGCTCTTTAATGAATGGGCTGTTGAGGTGTTTTGCCCTTCTGTGAAGAGCTACCTTTAAAGGCTCTTCTCCTTATGGATAATGCCCCTGGTCATGACCCTCAACTTACCAGCACTTTGGAGTCTCAATTTGACTGTCAAAATGTTGTTTTTGCCTCCCAACACTACATCAATCATACAGCCAATGGACCAGAATGTGATCAGCAACTTTAAGAAGCTGTACATGAAGAAAATGTTCAGGAGGTGTCATCAGGCAACTTCCACTGATCCTGAACTAACACTGACACAGTTCTGGAAGACACAATTTAACATCCTGGAGGCTGTAAAATTGATTGTGTCCTCATGGCAAGAAGTCTCCACTAGATCCCTCAATTCTGCATGGAAATTACTGTGACCATCAGTAGTCCATGATTTTGAGGGCTCTCAGGAAGAAGCAGAGTTGGACCAGGAGATTGTGTCCATTGGTCAGTCATTGGGCCTTGAAGTGGAGGAGGATGATGTAGAAGAGCTTGTGATGTCTCATGAGCAGGAACTTACTCCTGAAGACTTGCAGCAACTGGATGAGATGTTAGAGGCTGACAGTGGTGAGGAGGAAAAGGAAAGTGATGACCATATGTCAACTTCAGATTTGAAAGATGTTATTGACCACTGGGAGAAGTTCAGGAAACTGGCTTCAAGGCACCCAGATGTGGAAAAATCAGAACTAGCTTTGTGTAATGTTGAGGACACAGTGGCCTCCTTCAAACATCAGTTAATGATGAGGAGGAGAGATGCCCCACAAACAAAAATTGACAGTTTCTTCACTAAAAGGCAGTGGGAACAAGATGCTAGCCCTCAGCCTTCCACTTCAAGAAGGAGAGAGGATGTTCCTGCTGGAGAATCTGTCAGTCCAGAGGTTCCTGACATTTTCATGGAAGGTGACTCACTTTCCAAGAAGCAGTAAAATGCTTCACCTCCACTTCCTTCTCTTCTCCCTTCTCCTCCTCCACCTCCCACTTCAAATTCACATCAGCATCATCATCCAGGAGCCTTCTACATACACACCTCAAAGTAAGTGTACTTTACTACCTTTTTTGTTGACTTTAGGCAATTTTCGGTGAGCTGAAACCAATTACCCAAAACCCATTGAAACAATGGTTTTGGTTAATGAATTTTTCGGTTAACAAGCAACCTTCTGGAACGAATTGTGCTCGTTAACCGAGGGACCACTGTATACACTATACAGTAGTATATCCGTTAACCGGAATCCCTCAAACTCGGAACTCTCCGATAGCTGGAATTGTAATTTACTCAGAAAATCGTTCCCAAAGCCAGAATTTTCAGGAAAATTCCGCCTTTCGGAACGATTTGACGAGGGGCACATTTTCCAGAAAATCCCAAGAAAAATTTCCCGATACCCAGAAAATTCCAGGGATGGGCGAGTGTTTCCCGGGTGTGAGAGATGAAAATCAGGTGCATTCTCCTGAAATTCTGAGAAAATTTTTCTGGTAGCCAGAAAATTCCGGGGATGGGGGATATTTTCCGGCTTCGAGAGCTGATGTAATGGGTAATTTCTGAAATGTCTGAGAAGATTTTTCCGTTACCCGGAAAATTTCAGGGATGAGGGATTTTTTCCTGCTTTGAGAGAGTCGTCTCGTTATCTGGAAATCTCCCATTCCTGGAAGTGCTCTTCTACACCACTTGTTCCGGTTGACGGAGATATCACTGTGCTGTACTCCCCAGCAGAAACTGTCATCTTGAGCTTGTGATGCAGGCAGGCCAAATGATAATATGATACAGGATGGCCTGCCTTTGTCCTGTACCATCTACTGTAGCAGGTGTTACTGTCACTCTTCTCCTGCCATGAAGGAGGGGCTGTACACACACTGTATACCTTACATACACACCAGCACACAGTAGGCATTCACTGTCCACTCTGCTATGTACAGTACTGTACATACAGTACGTACTTTCACATTAATTGAGTGTACAGTACAGTATATATAACTGGAATCATTTTTTGTCTTAATACACTCTTAACAGTATTCTTGGTTGATTGTATCCTGGTTTAGTAATGTACATTACTGCGCAACACAGATTGTATGCAAAAACAGTTGTGAGTGAGCAAACAAGCTTGTACAATGACAGCTGACAACGAACTAAGTGTCATGATGCAAGAGTTTGAAGAGATAGACTGTCAATCATAGGCATCCCATGCACTCACGTGACGTTAGCAGCCAATCGTAGCGCAAAATGCACTCTCAGTCTACTCACCCATGACACGCTTGGCACATGTCAGCACATGATGCGATTGCTCAGAATTTTATTAAAATGCCCGGAACGTAGAGATTTTTCTTGTAATTTTATGGAATGCTAAAATGTTATTTTTTGGGTAGTGTA